AAGCCCTGCAAGAGGGAGCCTGCGTGTGGATTGTGGCAGAAGTCCTGTGACCGTGTTGACCTTGCCATTATGCCCCTATTCTGTAAAATACAATCTGTAAAATACAATAAAATAAAACATAAGTTTACTGATTAGTACGTTTCAAGCAATTTTGGGAATATTTTAATTTTATAATTTTGGGAATACCAAAGTCCACAGCGACACTGGTCCCCTGTGCTGTGAAAAAGTTCTGGTGAGAACACTGGTAAAAGAAAGGTATTTTAGATACCAGTAGTAAATTGCCTACACTTATGCGTACAAGATCAACAAAAGTATCCACCCCCCCCCCCAACGAATAAAGAGAATGGAATGGTCCATCCCTTCCTGTTGGGAGGTCTTTTGAGATCTGACACATCTGGAAGTGTTCACACCAGAGTGTGACCATCATATTCAGACAGAACTACTAGTGTCCAGTGTTTACATACTGGGATTACATTGTGCATTTTACTACTGTTACAGGACCACCTCGGGTTTGTCCGTAGAGCTATCGGAAAACAGGACAACGCAACGTAGAGCACAAAAACCATGCAAATTTCAGCTCAACCAGGGCCAAAATCTAACAATAGGGAACCTGTGAAGACATTCTAACATTGAAGCAAAATGTACAGCGTAATGGGACAAGCTAACCTCCCATATTCTATCATAATTATAATAGTCAATAATTTGTAGGCCGTGTTTCCCACACGGATACTAAAATATTTGCAGAGATAAACAGAGATCAGAGAGATACAGCACAGTAAACAGATACTGAGATAGGCATGCAAACGGTTTTCGGATGAAACTAGCGATCGGCAACGCTTGAAAGCTCTTTGGTTTGACAATGTTTTACAAACACATGAGGGTTTTCTTACCTAACCCTGCAGTACTAGTGATCCTTGAATTTCTTGGTCCAACTGACTTCTGAGGTCTACGGGAATCGGAATGAAGCTCTCGTCTCGATTTCAACCGTCCCTGGATCTTCTTCAGCTGGAATGCGCATCCTCGAACCAAAAAGCGCGGGAACCTTCCAAGTAGGTCAAAGGTTGTATTTGGGACGTATGAAAATATGGGAGGGGGTGACAAGCTGTAAAACATTTTTCCTATTCAGAACACCTCGTCAAGATAAAACAAATAGCATGATGGTAAACTCGTTTAACGTTATTCGCCTGAAGTTTCAGGTGAAGATTCTACTCTATTCTTCTCTAAGATGTCTGGTAATACATAAAATCCCTCCCCTATTGATTAAACATGGGACATACCAAGGTTGGAAGGGGGTGCCCAGACTTTGGCCCAGACCAATCCCAGATTGCTGACCACGCCTTTCAGCACTTGGTATGTTCCAAAGGAGGGACCATAGAAATCGCTGGATATCTTCCTACTTGGAACGTTTATAAACCACGGGAACAGTGGGCATGTTGGTCCTGGAAATATTTTGGAGAAAGGGGCAAAAAGGTAGCCTTTTCCAGCCTTCGGGAAGTGGCTGGAAAGATCAGCCAAATGGACAGATGATATGAACCTTTTCTGTTAAACTACACAATTTTACAACGTTTCAAAATAGGCCTATAGGGTTCATACAGGTCGAAGTTCTCGAACATAAACTTTCAACCGGGTGATTTTCTTGTTGCACAGTCTGCGCAAAAGGTAAAGAATTGTCATTAGCCCGGCAAACGCCAATGGTTATGATGATGTGCTATCCCTCTATTGTTTTGGATTATGCACGACATCTCCAACATGATCAGGCCGGGTCAAGGTTTATACATGCGGTTTCTCAGCGCCCAAATGGCAACATCGCGTCAACATGTCTCAAGTCTGCACAATGTAAAAGACCTTATGTCATTGATAGCTGTGTTCATCAGCTATCTTGAGCTAAAGGGGGTTATGGTGTCTGTTTTATGAGGGTCTGCATGCCCTTTTTCGTTAACCGTTATGGGCTATTTTAATTTACCGTTAATCGTTGCCGGCCCGCTCTAATTCAACGTTAAGCGTTATCAGTATATTCCTCGTGAAGCGTTATTGGTGAAAACGTTATTTGTCATCCTGAATTCAGCGTTAAGCGTTAATGAATAATTCTTCGTTACGCCTAATTTTGCCTATCAAAGTGCAGGAAAATGCGTCATTGAAGGTTTAAAATACAAAATTTCCCGGGGGAGAATGCCCCCGGACCCCTCTACATTGCTCGCGCCTTTGGCGCTCGACTCGCGCTTCTGCGCTCGGTCCCTTCCGCTCTAGCCAGAACCAGTTTACCCTTCAATTTCCGGAGGTTTGAGGAGAGTTACAGAATTTTTTAACGAATCCGTCATGCAAACTTGACAGGCAAATCAACAAAAATCTTGAGTAAAATATGAAAACATCAGAAGGACCGACAAACACTCTCAACACCATTATTTGCCTCTCAAAATGCGGGAAATTGCTTTTTTGAAGGCTTAAAAATCCTACATTTCCTTCGGCGCTCCCATCTCAAAATCCATCGGTAAAACTGGGCAGACTGAAAAAATGCAAGCTGGCCGAAGTCGACTCGGACACCCCGGTATTTGTGGACGCACTAGGGGGCCAGGGCAGGTGGGCAACACAGGGAACACATACCTTTAATGCGTGCTTCATTACATGTAAGGTATACGTAATTTTGTCAGTGATCACCTTTTCTCACAAAGCGAGATACCAAATCCAGTGCAGCTCGAAAAAAAAGCCTGTCAATTTACCGTTAAGCGTTGCCGGCCGTCCTGAATTTACCGTTAAGCGTCATCGGCCCTGCTGAATTTACCGTTAACCGTTGCCAGGACCCCCCCATGCAGACCCTCTTTTATGTTTTCAGTTTGGTTGTTACTCATATCAAGTTAGTACTGTACAAGCATGTATTACAAGGTGAAGTTGTGTATAGATTTTGGTGTGTATAGATTTTGATATATAAGAAACGATAAGAGTTTAGTTCTCCCTGTGACTGCAGCACCATCTATGCAGTATAAATTTGCAAAAATCCTACGAATTCTAGATAGATAAAAATGAACACAGCAGAAAGGAACTTTTCTTCAACAGTAACTTGTTAAAACAACTATTAGCCTTTCTACAAAACATAAGTACAACATATATTGTGCAAAAACCATAAAATGTTAACTGGATTCTATCTCTACTTAACTCCTTTAACGCTGATTCATAACATCGTGGTTTTTGTTTGAACTTTCATACAACAGTTACTTCATAAAAAATGCACATTATTCTAAGCATAAGACTGTTAAAACATAAGGATAATGATGATCAAATCTCACTCATTACCTACAGTTTGTGGATTGGCTGGGCAGAAATCTCAATTCACCCTGGTAAAACACCTAGCAATCCAAACTAACGTACAAACTACATGTGGCATTGAGAAAGGATGGAACCACTTATGAGATAGGGCACTGCCTGGCCATTGTGGCTCACATACTAAAGGTGAAGTTTCCAATGATATAAAAGCTAAAAGTATCTTCAACATACAAAGATGTTTCTTCCTCAGCACAATGTATCATGGTTCATTCTGAGATACGACAAAGTAGGGTTTTCAATTTTGTTCTGTCATTTCTCTGTTCCTGGATCTGGCATTCTTATATCTCAATATCTTTCTACCTTGTTGAAGAAAAGTTGACAAGGCACCTATCTTTGATACAGTATGGGCCCCTACAGTTTCATAGCTACTTTCATATGTAGCGCCATAGCATATACAGTCCAGTACAGAACAGTCCACTTTATGCTGTCATCATCAACTTTCGAATCAGCAACACTTCACTATGGTGACGCAGGCATGGCCGTACAGATTTTTCTGTAAGTTTTCGACAGACTTGAATGACTCGAATTCTGGATCATAGCACCAGATCTGTTTGTCTCCCCTGCTATCGCCACTGTGGCCTCCCGTGATGTAAATCTTCCCCTGGTACGTGGTTATCCCGCACTCGAATGGGACAGGCCACCTCATCCAATTCCAGGGGTTCCACTCCCACTGGTTCCACTTACACATCAAGCCTTCACCAAGCCCAGCAACATAGATGCTGCCAAAGAGAACTGCAGCGTTGAGACGACCTCCTGGTTGAGGCATGTGCTCCATTTCCCTCCACTGCGAGTCACCTGGGGTGAAGCGGTACATCGTAGCTGTTGGTTCGTGATCAGCACCAAATCCACCCATCACGTATATCTTGCCTTCCAACACTGCCGCTGCGTGGTGGTACCTTGCCTGTGGGAGTGGAATGCCCTCCGTCCACTTGTTCTGGTTCCTGTCGTAGATCTCCACATTTAATAGCGCAGAAAGGTCGTCTTTACCTCCAATGGCATATACTTTCCCTTGAACCACTGCTAGCTTGTGGTTGTACCGATTAGTGTTCATCTTAGCAAGTTTGGACCAGGAGTTGAGTTCTGGCTGATACAGCCACACATCCTTGGCAAAACGGGTACCTGTAGACACGATAATGTCGCTTTTGCCGAGAACAGCCACAGCAAAACCACTGTCGTTGTTCCTCTTCATTCTCGTCGTAACAGACCAACTCGTCTCTGATGGCGCTGCAACTGTGGTTGTCATGACGTGGTTTGAGATGACGGCATGGTCCTCAGCTCCAGTTCCCCGTGTCTCTGTTCCTCCAATGATCACTACCATCTCCATCAGACCACTGGCGCGGCGGGGACGGGCGCGCGGAGACTGGACCTCTCCCGGGAACATGTGGTACCTACGAGCTTCCGTCAAGAAGTCCTGGCAAGCCTCGCGTACGGCCTCGTTGCTCTCCACATTCTCCAAGAAGTACAGTCTATCCATGAAGGGGAACCTGACCCATCTCAGCAGGTCTTTCATCTCCTTCTTCCTCTCCCCTGATGTCGTGGTTGATCCAGGCCATCACAGCAGTGTACACGCTTTCCTCAGAGGCACCAAGGTCATCAGATGAGACCAGCTTGATGAGCTGTTCCCTTGTCAAATAAAGGAACTCCGGGGTCTCGCAGACTCCCGAGAACTCCCTCGTGGCACAGGACCACGCCCTCTTCTCCAGGTCTGGGCAGGACAGCATGCTCCCCATGTGCGCCATCTTCAGACAGTCATTAGCAGTAAGATTGTCAGAGATGTGCTTCGCGCAAGCATCACGCACCGGTTGGATCTGGAAGAAGTTGGCGACTTCCAGCAGTTTCACGGCATTGTCGTCTGTGATGGTGACCTTCGACGTGTACGCATAGTCCACAAGCAGCTGCAGGATGTTGGTGCCGACGTCGTGAATGGTGACGTTGTGCTCCTGGCTCTCGCGGTGTCCGTTGCAGAACATGGCACGGAAGTACCCGCTGCAAGCAGCGAGGACATTGCGGTGGCACGGAATCTCTCTTCCTGAGACGCAAAGGATGACGTCTGTCAGCAGGTTGTCAGACCGCAGTTCCTGCAATCCCTGCAAGAGGGAGCCTGCGTGTGGATTGTGGCAGAAGTCCTGTGATCGTGTTGACCCTGCCATCATGCCCCTATTCTGTAAAATACTAACAAACTTTACATGTAGGGTTGCGTGGCTGGAGCTTCTATTGCGTGCGATCTACGTTGATCAGAAAACTACCCCCCCCCCAAAAAAACGACCGATCCGGGATACCCCCTGAAAAGGAGGCTAACAAACTTAATCAATGAGTACTGCTATAATGCGGTATCAAAAGTCATTTACGCCTCAAGCAATTTTGGGAATATGTTAATTTTATAATTTTGGGAATACCACAGTCCGCAGTGATAGGACACAGTCATAACCTACAGAAAAAGAACCTGTGCCCATTCACACTGATTCAGTCAAAAAAGATATCTTAGATAACAAATAGCCTATAGATCCCAAAAGTATCCCCCAAGAATCAATAGAGTGGAATGGTCTACCAATGGGTGGTCTTTTGAGATCTGACACAGGGCCTGGCACTGGCAGTGTTCGCACCAGAGTGTGATCTGGTAGTGTTTACATCGGAGTTTTGATACTGCGTTTTGTAGAATTTTCATTGCGTTCTTTTGCCGGCCATCCTACAACCAGCCGCCAAGAGGTTTGTACCCGCGCTGGTTGTAGGATGGTCGGCAAAAGAACGCGTTAAAAAACCCACAAAACACAAAAGAACGCGTTAAAAATTCTACAAACAATCACAAAACACAGTATCACAACTCCCACCCGCCCGGAGGTCTGCACAGGATGCTGGTTACTGGGATTACATCAGACATGGGCACTTTACAGGACCACCTTGCCGGGGTTTGCCGGACGTCAGGAGATGGCGACAAATGTAAAATATACCAGAAAATGATAACTAAATACTTTTCAATCTGCTCCCTGATGCTGACAATACTTGCAAATTACTTTGCACCAGACATAATACAGGGGTTATGCAAATTAGAGGGACATCCTACACAAACATATTTACCGTAACAATGAGTCACAAACAACCAATTATGCAAAAACTTGCAACATAAAGCTACCTGCATAATAACATAACAATAACAGGAACAACAATGCATGCAAACTTCAGCTCACTCAGGACCAAAATCTAACAGGGAACCTGTGAGTGTGAAGATACTAAAATATTTGATGAGATCTTGGAGTTAAAGGACTGTTTTTCTACCTCCATGATAAGATCAGCAGAAATCAAAGAGATACAACACAACGCAAAAGGGACTGCGATATCGCTTTCCAAGAAAACTAGCGATCGGCATCGCTTGAAAGCTGTTTGGTTTGATTTGACAAGGTCAACATTACAATCACATGAAGGTTTTTCTTACCTAAACCTGCAGTACCAGTAATTCTTGGACTCCTTGGTCCCCACTGACTTCTGAGGTCTACGGAAATCGGAATGAAGCTCTCGTCTCGATTTCCGCCGTCCCTGGGTCTTCTTCAGCTGGAATGCGCATCCTCGAAGCAAAAAGCGCGGGAACCTTCCAGGAAGGTCAAAGGTTGTCATTGGGACGTATGAAAATATGGGAGGGGGTGACATGCTGTAAAACATTTTTTCCTATTCAAAACATTTCGTCATCGTACAAAAAAATTAGTATGATGTTTATTCAATTAATTGCCTTAACGTTATTTGTCTGAAGTTTGAGGTAAAGATTCTATTCTACTCTACTCTAAGATGTCTGGTAATACACAAAATCCCTCCTCTGTTGATTAAACATGGAACATGCCAAGGGTGGAAGGGCGTGCCCNTTCCAGGAAGGTCAAAAGGTTGTCATTGGGACGTATGAAAATATGGAGGGGTGACATGCTGTAAACATTTTTTCCTATTCAAAACATTTCGTACATCGTACAAAAAAATTAGTATGATGTTTATTCAATTAATTGCCTTAACGTTATTTGTCTGAAGTTTGAGGTAAAGATTCTATTCTACTCTACTCTAAGATGTCTGGTAATACACAAAATCCCTCCTCTGTTGATTAAACATGGAACATGCCAAGGGTGGAAGGGCGTGCCCAGACTTGCCCAGACCTTGGCCCCGACCAATCCCAGATTGCTGACCACGCATTTCAGCACTTGGTATGGTCCAGAGGAGGGACCATAGAAATCACTGGATATCTTCCTACTTGACTTGGAATTGGTTCTTCCTAATTGATTGCTGTGTTCATCAGCTTTCGTTTGGTTGTTACTTCATATGAAGTTAGTACTATACAAGGTGAAATTGTGGATAGATTTTGATATGTAAGAAACGATACGAGTTTAGTTCTCCTTGTGCAGCCCTAACTATTCAGTAGAAATTTTCAAAATATCCTATGAATTCTATATAGACCAAAAAACACACACAGCAGACTGGAAGTTCTCTTCAACAGTAACTTGTTAAAAAAACCTTACTAATTATTAGCATTATTACAAAACATAAGTGCCTTGTATATTGTTAAAATATAATGTTAATAAAATTTTAACTGGAACTAGTTAATTAACATTCTATCTCTACTTTATTCCTTTAACCCTGATTCGTAACATGGTGGTTTGTGAACTTTCAAACAACTGTGACTTGTACAGAATAAGGGACATTATCCTAAGCATAATGATCAAATCTCACTCCTTACCTACAGTTTGTGGATTGGTTGGATGAGGCTCTATAGATACAAAACCTAGATACAAAATAACATGTTGTTGAGAAACGAGATAGGGCACTGCCTGGTTACTACTAGTATTGTGGCTCACATAGTAAACGGTTAAGTTTCCAGTGTTATCAAAACTAAAGACTCTTTGAAATACTAAGCACAGACAATGTATCATGGTTCATTACGAGATATGACAAAACAGGGTTTCCAGTTATGTTCTGTCACTTCTCTGTTCCTTGGATCCTGCATATTCTTATCTCTCAATATCTTTATACCTTGCTGAAGTCATGTAGAAAAGTTGACAAGGCACCTATCTTTGATACAGTATGGGCCCCTACAGTTTCACAGCTACTTTCTTATGCATCATCATAGCATGATTGGTAGCTTTGCACAGTCCAGTACAGTACAGAACACTTTATGCCGCCATCATCAACTTTCTAATTAGCACACTTCAGTATGGTGACCCAGGCATGGCCATATAGACCCTTCTGCATGTTTCCTGCAGACTTGAAAGACCCAGTGTCTGGATCGTAGCATGAGACCTGTCTGCCTCCCCTGCCGTTACCGTTGTGGCCTCCAGAGATGTAAATCTTCCCCTGGTACACGGTCATTGCGCAGTCCCATGGTACACGTGCCTGCAACCGATTCCAGTTCCCCATGAGGATAACCCGAGTGGGGTTGAAGGGGTCAGTCCACAACCTTCCCGTTGGCTTAAAACTGTACACCCATCCGTCTGGATGTAGCCCAGCAACATAGACGCTGCCCTTGAGAGCTGCAGCGTTGAGACGACCTCCTGGTTGAGGCATGTGCTCCATTTCCTTCCACTGTGAGTCACCTGGGGTGAAGCGGTACACCGTAGCTGTTGGTTTGTGATCAGCACCAAATCCACCCATCACATATATCCTGCCGTCCAACACTGCTGCTGCATGGTGGTACCTTGGCTGTGGGAGTGGAATCCCCGTCGTCCACCTGTTCTGGTTCCTGTCGTAGATCTCCACATGTAATAGCGCAGAAAGGGGGTCTCTCCCTCCAATTGCGTACACCTTACCTTGAACCACTGCTAGCTTGTGATTGTACCGATTGGTGTTCATCTTAGCAAGTCTGGTCCAGGAGTCGAATTCTGGCTGGTACAGCCAGACTTCTTTGGCAAAACTGGTGCCTATGGACACGATAATGTCGCTTCTGCCGAGAACAGCTGCAGCAAAACCACTGTCGTTGTTCCTCTTCATTCTCGTGGTAACAGACCAACTCGTTTCTGATGGTGCTGCACCATGGTTGTCATGACGGCGTTTGAGAAGACTGTAGGGTCCTCGGGTCCAGTTGACCGTTTCTCTGTTCCTCCAATGACCACTAATGTCTCCCTCAGACCACTGGTGCGGCGGGGACGGGTGCGAGGCGACTGGACCTCTCCCGGGAACAACTGGTACCTACGAGCTTCCGTCAAGAAATCCTGGCAAGCCTTGCGTACGGCGTCGTTGATCTCCACATTCTCCAAGAAGTACAGTCTATCCATGAAGGGGAACCTGACCCATCTCAGCAGGTCTTTCATCTCCTTCTTCCTCTTCCTGACGTCGTGGTTGATCCAGGCCATCACGGATGTGTACACGCTTTCCTCAGAGGCACCAAGGTCATCAGATGAGACCAGCTTGATGAGCTGTTCCTTCGTCAAATAAAGGAACTCCAGGGTCCCGCTGACTGCCGAGAACTCCCTCATGGCATAGGACCACGCATTCTTCTCCAGGTCTGGGCAGGACAACATGCTCCCCATGTGCACCATCTTCAGACAGTTCTTAGAGCTAAGATTACCAGAGATGAACTTCAGGCAAGCATCACGCACCGGTTGGATCTGGAAGAAGTTGGCGCCTTCCAGCAGTTTTACGGCATTGTCGTCTGTGATGGTGACCTTCGATGTGTACGCATAGTCCACAAGCAGCTGCAGGGTGTTGGTGCTGACCTGGTGAATGGTGACTTTGTGCTCCTGGCTCTCGCGGTGTCCGTTGCAGACATGGCACGGAAGTACCCACTGCAAGCAGCGAGGACATTGCGGTGGCACGGGATCTCTCTTCCGGAGACGCAGAGGATGACGTCTGTCAGCAGGTTGTCAGACCGCAGTTCCTGCAAGCCCTGCAAGAGGGAGCCTGCGTGTGGATTGTGGCAGAAGTCCTGTGATCGTGTTGACGCTGCCATTTTTATGCCCTAAGGTATGAAAAGAATAAAGAATAAATAAAAGATAACTTACTGATCAGTACTGCAGTATCTGTATCTGTTAGTGTATCTGTATAGCCGGTATAACCACCTTTCGGCGTAACACACCAGCTAAAAAGTCATACTAAAAACAGGCTGCTAAAAAGTATCATAAGTCATGCAAGAGTCCACAGTGATAGGACACAGTGATAAGCTAAAGAAAAGAACATTTAATCAAAAAAGATATTTTAGATAACAAATTGCCTAAAATTATGCATATAATTATAAGATCCCAAAAGTACCCCCTTCCCCCTAAGAATCAATAGAATGGAATGGTCCATCCCCTCCTGATGGGAGAACTGACACATCTGGCAGTTCTTACCAGAGTGTGACCATCATATCCAGACAGAAGGGTACCACTGGTGTTCAGTGAATACATGCGCATGTTACACGACCACCTTGGGTTTGTCAGGAGATGGCCACAAATGGATTCTTACAATAGTGGGAAAGGGTGAAATATACGATAAAATGATGGTAACTACTACTTTTTCAGTCTGGTCCTTGAAACAGATAGCCTGAGTGTCAGCCTTGTTAGCTTTCCCAAGAGGTGGGGAGTGGATCTTGGGGAGTGGACAAAGCTAAGCTAACAGTAACAAGGCTGACACTCAGGCTATGAAACTGAATTATTTCAAAACTTGCAAGTTATGTGTATTCATATTGCACCAGACATGTACAGGAGTTATGCAAATTACAGGGGTATCCTACAGAAACATATTTACCGTAACAATGAGGTACTAAACAATGCAACCTAAAGCTATTTACACCATAACAATTGAAAACAGGACAACCTAGAGCACTAAAACAACAACATGCAAATTTCAGCTCAGCCAGGACAAAACTCTAACCAAGGAACCTGAAGATATTGTAACAAATTGAATGAAGCAAAATGTACAGCACTGGGCCAGGCTAACCTCCTTGTTCTTGACCCTGATTTAACCATGGTATAACGTTACCTCCATGAGTACAGCTAGAGAAAAACAGAGAATCCAAAATCTTCAGGACTTGGACATGTAAAATAATTCTGTGTTGGCCAAGTTGTGATGAGCTACTTAATTTCGAACAACTCATTAGTTTGAAGAAAATTAATCTGACGCATTAATATACTTTCAAATTCAGTTTAGAGTGGATGAAATATGCTGATACATTTTGTACTAGTGCTAGTATAGTCTGTGGTTCCCGCGCGAATACTAAATACATGTATATTAGAAACAGATGGGGCTGCGACCGGTCGCGACCCGTTTCCTAGAAAACTAGCTCGGGTGGATAACTTTACTACAGCTTGAAACTATGGTAACTTATGCTCCTTACATTACAAACACATGAAGATTTCCTTACCTAACCTTGTAGTAGATCTTAGATTTGGTCCCACTGACTTTTGAGGTCTACGGGAATAGGGAAGAAGCTCTCGATCTGACGCAGACCGTCCCCGGGTCTTCTTCTGGTGGAATGAATGCACATCCTCCAAAAAGCGCGGGAATCTTCCAGGAAGGTCAAAGGTTGTCTTTGGGACGTATAAAAATATGGGAGGGGGTGACAACCTGCTAATTTGGAACACCTCTTCAAGATACAATAAAATGTAGCTGTTATTTTTTGGGGTGATAATCCGATTGCTTTAACGTTATTTACTTGAAGTTTAAGGTAAAGATTCTACTCTACTCAGCTCTAAGATGTCTGGTAATACACAAATCCCTCCTTTGTAGATGGAACATGCCATTGTGGAAGGGCGTGCCAGGACTTGCCCAGACCTAGGACCTGACCAATCCCAGATTGCTGACTACATCTTTCAGCAGTTGGCATATTGGTCCAAGAAACAGTCTGGCGTCCAAGTTACTACATTTGTACATGCAACTTCAATCAACTGTGAGGATATTGTGCTGTGAACCAAGGGATGGTGGTAGAGATGGATGGAAAGATATCCGAGCTAATACTAGTAGCTTGTCTAGATTATGATACAAGTTAGTATTGCCAAGGACATCCTTTATTGTTTGTGCAGAGGTAACATTACACTATGGTCGAGAAGCTTACAAGAAGTGATAGTTTATACTTATTACACTGTGTTCTTTATTGATCTTTTTTGGGATACTTATTTATTAGTATCCATAGGGTTGAATACAAAGTTTGATTTATCTTTTGCCATTGTGCATGGCATTTTGACTGTCAATGGGAGAATATGGTAACAAATTAACAATCAAAATCAATACAATTATTTTTGTTTTGAAGTCCCATGTCCTGACAGCCACACCGCCCCTTGCTGCTCTTGGCTCTCGCTGAGTGTGACAGTTTTCGCGGTACTCTCCGAGACACGCTGCATACTTCATGACATGTGCAACGTAGTTCTGTTCATGGACACCATGGACCAGATGTGCCATGGGACCCCCTGCAAAGACGGGCACATCCTCTCCACCATGTGTCTCGTGTGCCAGAGGCACCGCACTTTGCTGTTTGTAGTCTTTGCTTCCTGAAAGAAAGGCACAGTGATTAGGACTTTCATATCATCACTTCAAATTCAAGGGAAATTTTATAGAAAGGGGTTAAAAGTAGCCTCTTCCAGGCTTTGGAAAGTGGCTGGAGAGAGTACAAATTGGCCAAATAGACAGATGTACCAGGGGAGTTGGTCGACACTGAAAGAACAGTTTGCTACTCCCCAGCATATCTATCATCTGTCTGTTTTGCTGATTTCTACTCTTTCCAGCCACTTGCCAAAGCCTGGTAGCTCAGGCTAGTAAAGAAGGACCAGTGGTATGATACAGGTGAACATATTAGTAGACCTGTGTCAATGTTCGTAATGTCCTCCCTTGTACCAGACAGACTGTAGCCCGGCCCGTTACCATACAGCAGACTTGTCATCGGCTTCCGGTCCAGAAGTTCAAAACCAAAGTTGTAATCAGTCTTTCCTGTTGGAGACAGTGAGGTAAATTACATGATGTGACATATCTGTAATCTGTTACCCTTGATAGATCCAATTGATGTAGTTTATATATACACCAAGGCCACAGTTATATAACTTACATTCTCCTCAGAAACAAGATGCACTTACACTTAAATCAAAACCAAGCTCATTTTGCAGCAATATGTTTTAAGATAATGAATCTATACAGTAAAATATATCTTTGTATTAAGATTCACAAAGTAATTGATACTATTTTAATAGTCAGCTGTGTCTTGCTTGTAACACCTGATTACAAAATGGACAAACCAAATATTGGATTTCCTCGACTTGGGTAACCCCCAAAGGTGAAGGTGTGAGAATGGTCGGCTGTCACAATGATCAGACTGTCCTGCATATCAAGCATGTCCTTGGCAACCTAAAGAAGAAAGACACTGAGTCTATTTTTCCCTTTCTTTGAGTATTTTTTTCTGCCAAACACTCAGTAGCACTGAGAAAATGAAAATGACAACGGTATACTAAAGGGGACTATGCTAGTTGAACAATATGTTTCTGAATAGAAAGCTTGCATGCTAAGTGTCAAGTATGCAGGTAAAGATTGTTATACCTGAATGGCATCATCAAATGCAACTGTGTCGTGCAGTGCCCTGACAGCTTGATTTGCATGGTGTCCATGGTCAATGCGCCCACCTGTAAATAGAATTAACTCAGTGCATGGAATGCAACAATCATGTCCCCAAGTGTTTGTTATTCTGTATGACAGAATGTAACTGCAGGATTTCTAGAAGGTGTGCATGAAAGTAGACAGTTCAGGGCAAAACTGGATGTCTAACAGTACATGCTTGTGTGTACAATAATTCCTTGATCAGTAAAGATGCAAAGTAGTAGACCCCACACCTTCCACCAGCAGGAAGAAACCATTGCTGTTCTTCTGTAGGATCTGGATGGCTTTTTGGGTCATGTTGGAAAGGGTTGGCTCGCCTGCACTGTCAAGTTCACGGTCAATGGAAAACTTCATGTGGTGAGGTTCAAATAACCCTGCAATAGTCAATTAGTGTATTTCAATCTGTGTTGTTACCTTTATACTGGTAGCAATTACTAGTATACAATGTGCAATGTAACAACATGTGAAATTGACTTTTTCCTCTTGAAAGGTGTTTAAGAATCAAAGTGCTATACAAGAGAACGGTCCCTACCCAACAGATAGTCTGTCTTGTTTGAATCTATGGCATTGAACTCATCCATGTTCCACACAAACTGGGCCGTCCCTGGTTTTCTGGTCACCCATTCTTCAAGGAGGTTCCTGCCGTCTTGACGGGTCCCATACCTGTTGGGATACTCCATGTCAGGAATGTTTTGAGGAAGGAAGTTCTGACGTCCACCAGCTAGAAGCACCTTAAAGAAACATGACAACAATTGAACCATACACATCTTTGATTCAAATACACATAACAATAATTGATAGTCATTGCTGGTCTTGTTCCCCAGAGTGATGATTTGTCAGCAAGACAGAAATATACAGATTGGCCATACACATGAATGTAACGTAACTCAGAGAGATAAGAAATTTAATGTTACCTCTATATCGGGAGCACTATCCACCAGCTGAGCTGCAATGTCCTTGCACCCATTTTGAACAGCCTCCCAGGGCAGGTTAGCATCAGTGTCCCAGTATCGGCTAGCACTGTGTGCGTATGTGGAGGCTACTGTGGCATCGGTCAAGCTGGTGGTGGACACAACTCCTGTAGACTTGCCTGAAGAGAAGCAGATGAGAGTCCTATCTCTTTTATCAGGTGTATGTCTTAATAAGGATATGCAACTATGCTATAATTATGAAGTGCATAGTGATGAAAGTGAATTATGATAATTGAGTAGTGCACTACTAGTATACAAATATGCACCATTCTAAATATGAATCTAAACCATAGAATTGATAAATATTGCACAATTAACATCCATACCTAATCTACCAGCCAACCTGAGTCTACTCAAATTGAAAGTCACTACACAACAAAACTTGGATGTGTATCAACGATGCACCAACCCACCTGCCTGATTGGCCAGCACCAGGATTGAGTTGACCTCGTTGCCCTTCTGAGTTGCACAGACCCCGTTCCTTACCCGACAGTTGACCCCTACAGTCCCTCGCTCTGCCTTCACCCCTGACAGGTAAGCTGTGGCTGTACCTGCGGAGTCTGGTACCTGATAGTCCAGGTTGTAGGTCTAGATTCACACAGTAGAGAATAGACAAAGGCTGACTCTTTGCAACCCTTAAATATGCCTCAAACGTTTTGACATATTGTGTTGATATACTAGTAGTTGTCTATCTACTCTGTTAGTTTAAGTTCCTTCAGTATACACACACAGAACTAAGGTAAGAATGGAACCAAATGTCTGGGCCTTTCTATTGCTGTACCTTTCTTCTCAACATGGGAGGGGCAGTCAAGATTGCTTGAATAATACCGGTAGGGGAAATGTGTTCAAGTAAAGACATGTTGTGACATTCATGGAATGGAAATGAAAAAAAAATTGGCATTCCTACCCTTTTTGGACATGTTATCGGCCTTTATACCCAAAGAGAATTACAATAATAACTGCATCACCTTGGCTAGGCCCATATGTGGCAATGAGTCCATAGCTAGCACAGTTTCCTCCCCTGGCTGGCCTTGTAGCTGTCCCTTCAGAATCCTCCCAGCAGTCACAGTAGTTACACCCATGCCGTCTCCTATGAACAGCACCACATTTTTGGCCACGTTCAAGTTCAACTTCTGTAGCTGAATGGCTCTGTCAAGGTCGCGATGTGCCATGTCATTCCAGAATGCAGGATCTCGTTCCTCAGATGGTGTGCGCTTCTGAGGCTCTGTTTAAAATGACACGGCATACATTAGTTTTGAAATGACGATACTCAGCAAATGTCCCTTTTCTCTGTAAGACCATCATGCCACCAAGATGCAGCAAAAATTCAATTCTCTAGGGAATGTACAAGTAAAATTTCTTATATGATATTTGCAATCCAATCTTTGTACTATTTAGATCAGCTCCACCTCTAAGGCGTTGCCAAAAATGTCACTGACCTGAGAATGTTGGCTGTCGTCCTGATGGTGCCTGTTCCATAGTTGTGGGGAGGACAGCAGACACCAGAAAGAGAAAGCGGTGCAGCTCCATCTCGTCGCACATACAGCTACCACCTACGTTGTAAAACGGTGTTGAAATGTTGAGCTGTATTCTGTACAGGACGTAATCCCATGCCTAATAAGTACCCCGGCCCCACCATATCTACTGCATACCCATATCCATACCGATACATTCAACACATGACGTTTGTACAAAAATACCCATTGTTGCCTTCGTCTAGATCACCTCTGTTTTTATGACGGCTCTAGGAACATATTTTTTTACCTTCTGGGTCCTGCAAATTTTAGTTCTTCTTGCCTGATGGCTGCAGATCTTGAGGTTGCGTTATTGCGTTTTGCACATGAATTTGATGAAAGCCTGGTTGTGAATTATGCTAGGTCCCACGGCACATGCGTAGATCAGTATTGAGGCTCTGTAACATTATGGTTCATTCGTTTATTTGTTCCAGTCATTTTTGGACATGATTGGGTAGAGTTAGCGCGTCTATCGTAGGACGCCGGACTTGCACAATCTCAATGCAAATGCATAACAAGGGATATCCTTTTCAGCACCAAGGAAAGAGCACATCGCTGGTACCGCGGAAAGCGCCACCTTGCGGATGTGGACTATAAGACATATATTGCGTCCGCAGTATCGAACGAGAACGTCTTCACTGATTTTTCGTCAAACGTGAGTTCAATCTATCCATGGGAGTAGATGATGCTGTTCTTTCACCATTTTTTGCCAGAATTCTGCCGGCCAGAGATTAACTTACGTTTTCTTATAACATTGCATGCAAGATTGCATACAATCTTTACAACTTTAAGCATACTGATCAATCGGAGTGACATTAGGACTAGCTGCTTTTGGAGGCATCCATGTATGATTTAATACAACACAACATCCACGTAAATGACAAACAACTTTGTTTACCAACAAAAGCGCCACCTGGCGCTTCACTTACCAGAGTTCCTGGAAGAGCATACTGTAAAATTGAGTATAGGGACGGCAAGTTTTTGTAGTATTTTGACAGAGTTCACTAAAACGTAAAATCGGTCTTAGGGTAATTTATTTGAATATATATCAGATGAATTTTAATTATTGAATCAATTATTTATGTTGCTTACTTTGGCTTTTATAAATTTATTTAAAACCACATCCTTCCCCTCAGTGATAATGCACTCTTCCAGTCGCCATCTTGGCGGGAAACTTGTAGAATGTGTCGGTTTGGAGATTTGTTCATGGAAAACTGTCGAATATTGGGATAATTTATTGTTGTCAGCTACTAAAGACAGTTCACAGACCTTCGAGTAATACCAATTGTCGTCCCTGACAGCCTTCTGAATCAGGTAAATTTCTGTATTCTGTTGTTTTGGCAGGAGAGACAAGCCTGCACTCCATCGTCAGTTCTCGAAATATTTTCCATTTCGGATTCTTGTTATATGATGTGTGTGTATGGGGCAAGTAGAAGTTGTGTATAACGGACAGTTCTAGTATCGTTACCCTTTGTGTGAATATGAACAGAAACTAAAAAGTTACCCTGTTTAAAATTTGGTAACTTCACGACATCTACTCAAATGTTGTCTTGCTAAAAGTGACCACAGCTATTTAAACTTCAATATAGAACCCAGAGAACTAGAAGGTATAGACGTATCATCTATATGGTCTACATTCTTGAATCGTCATATTTCTAGTCAGTTTGCCGAGAAGTCTACCTGATGGTCATACCTGGAAGGTGAGAAGGTGTGCTCAGCTCCAAGTTCAGGTACGTCAAACTTGGATCCTATGAATATGATTTTTTCAATATATAAAAAGTTGTAACCGGATTTTTCTCCTCTTACTCACAGTTTTAGTCTAATCATAACTGCTGTAACTCAGTTTACATTGCATGCAGTCCAAAATGTTACTGGACTCTTAGTTACACATTCAAATTTACCTTTTACCAACCAACACGGTTGCATGAGTACAATACAAACACTCTATACTCACTCCTAACATTGTCCCAATGATTGCTTGGTTGCCTGTTTTTGTTCCAGACCATTCTTTCTGTGCTGATACAGTGATGATGCTTGTATACTTTTCCAACCACAAAGTCAGCTGAAAAGTTACAGTGTCTCCGACGAGTCTGCATTCTCCACTCGTCCTGCTGTGAACATTAGAAACTGAACAAACTACATACTACTACATGTAGCATGTGCAAACCTCATGAACAATTGTATAAAGTATTAGTATATTTGTTTGACAATCAATGATAGAATATCACAGTAACTGAATCATATGTAGTTTTTAACGATTGAGCGTTAACTTTGTGGATATGTATGAATAAGATATTCGATACACCATTGAATAGAGAATATTGTAAAACCTTGGTAGATTGAAATAAGCATGGCGGAGGCACTGTTAGAAGGAGAAGCTCCTGGTGAGAATATGACAGGAAGTGCGGACATGACCCCCACGAAGCAGCAAACATGTGGCACTGGTGTCTCAGTGGTGTCATTCCAGCGTAGTCCTAAGGATGCCGAGGAGGTAGTTGACTTACTCTTGAGAGAACTGATTCCTCAGGAAGACTGGGATGCAGCAAGTGATGCTGATTCTGATTCACCAGTTTTAACTGAAGAAGGATTGAGTCGTATTTCTTCATCAGCAAAGGCTGACACATTGGACAGTGACATCTCTGACCATGTAACAGCAAAAGGGGCAGATCCAGTAAAGCCCTCAAGTGGGAAAGATGTTTCTCAAGCTCAGCAAGGCCAAGAAGGGAATGATGATGTATTGTCAGTTCTAAAAGACTTAGATCAGTGTCTTGGAGAATCAAGTTCAACAGAACCCTCAGTTTTAGGCACTTATGTCACAGAAGATAATTGTGACACGTGCAGCGTGCTGTCAGACATCACAGCTTACCTGTCTGAAGATGACGATCAGAGAAAAGAGTTGCAACAGGACAAGGGATCTAAGGAGAGTCTTGTTACCAACGACGATGAGAAGACAGAGTTGCTGGTTCGAAATGGCATTCATGAGGACTTTGATGGTACCACCATGCTTGTTGATGAGGAGCAGGGAAAAGCTGAAGATGCATTAGAAGTGTGCATCTCTACAGATAAAGAGCCTGCTGTAGAGGAAAGATGTTGCAGCAGTGAAGCTAAAGGTGCTCATCAGATGGCAGCTATTCAGAAACTTGACAGTCCTCTTTCAGAAGTAGAGGGAATAGCAACTCACAAAGCTGGTGGTACACGTACTGATGAAACTAGAATTGAGCCACAAGAGAATGGCACCAAGTGTTCCATGCCCAAAGATGTTTCAACAAAGAACAGCCAACCGTCTCATATGATAACGGATTGTGCTATGGCAGTGTCAAACAAACCTACAAACTATGTTGATGATGTAATAATTGATCTGTGTGTGACACCTGAAGAAGAAATAGATCTAGTTGACCAGGATGGTAAATATTTGACTGACAGTTTAGAAGGTGACTCAATGGAAACTGATGCACAGTTTGAAGTCATCGATGTCTGGCCAAATCCTGCATACAGCTGTGAGACTCCTCCAAAGTCTTTAGCTAGTAGCCCAATTGTAGGAAGCAAAGGTTCCTCTACTCCAGAAATAAGTTCTTTATCTGACCACAAAGGGGCAATAGATAAAAGCAATCAGTCGAGAGAATTGAATAGATCTGTAGCTTCTGCTACTGCTGGTCTCGAAGCATCTTCTCTAGTTAATACAAGTGAAAAAGTAAAGGTTGGAGAAATAAGAAGGAAGGCAGTTCCAACTGAGAGCAGTAGTGTGAGCGGCTCTGTTTACAGGCCCAAAGAAGTTTCTCTTAAAACTCCCCAGGCAGAACAAGTCTCTGATGTTGCTGACAAGCTTCAATCATCTCAAGACAAGTCAAGAAACCCACAGCCTGTTGTAAGCATGTCTCGGTGTACAAAAGATTGTGGTTCTGAAAACAGTGGAAGGAGTGTTGTACACAAAAGCTCAGGTTTAAAGAGTAAGGCACAGAGTACCAGACCACCAACCAGTGGAGATTGCGATGTTGAATTCTTGCAGCAGAACAAGAGAGTCAAAATGGGTTCCAATCCAGAAGGCACTGTCAAGTCACACACAGAAAGACCAAAACCAAAGATAAAGCCTATTGTCTGGGACCGCTCTCCAGCTCACAGCAGTAAGACCAGGAATCCAGTTGTATTTCCTGCACAGAAAACAGTAGTAATAAAATCTGAAGGAAAACAGGCTTTTTTAGCTCCAACTGCCAAGAACACTGTGGTAAAGAAGATGGAAATGCCCAAGCCGCAGAAGAAAACGGCAATTAAGAAAATTGTTTGGGACAGATCACCTGCTCGGCAAAAGGACACAAGTAAAAAAAGTCCTCTTAAAGATGGAGACCTGGAAATATGCATCCCCAACAAGACAGAGGCTGTCAAGGAAGATGTCAGACTTGTCTATGATCCACAGAGGCCGTTATCACCAGATTCCAAAAATAAGCTACTGGAGCATCTACTGAAGGTGGAGGATAGCCAAGAAACTGAGACAGAGGAGATACAACCAAGTAAACTTAAAGTTACCATCTCAAAGTTGGACAGCAAGGTTACAGTGGCAGAATCTGATCCTGATGTTCCATGTAAAAAGCTTAAATTAGCTGGAGAAAGAGGCAGTCATACACTCACATCTGTTGCAGATAAACACAAAGGGAAGGCAATGTCTGCTGCAGCCAATAGTAGCAGTAGATCTGGTCAGCACAAGTCTTCTAAGAGGGAGAAACATAAAACTCACAAACATTCAAATCATGAGGAAAGACTAGTAATGCTCAAGGGAGAGCCCAAACCTACTGTCCAAGCAAGCATGACAGCACACAACAGCAAAGAGAAACCACAACATAAGGGTGATGGTAAAGAAAAATCTACGAGTGTAGAAAAGAAACTTTCTCCTTCTGATGCCATCAAGAGAAAGAGGAGTTCAAAACGAAGAAAGAAATCAAGTGATAGTAATGATTCAAAAGATGGACAGGGCAAAAGTAGGAAAAAAGCAAAAGTGTCCAATGACATTGAAGATGAGCTGTCTAGTCTCCTGGAAATTACTCCAATGGAAGGAAAGGTATCCCGTCCAATGTTCTCAGAGAAACTGCAGCAAGAAGCACAACCATCATCAGATCCAAGAGAAGCATGTATTCAGAAGGACACTGTTGACACTGGAGGAGGCTCTGAGATATTGGAAACAGGGCCAAGCACAGATGTGACTGACTTGTCTGAAAAGTTGCGCAGGTCTAGGGCCAAAAGGCAGCAACAGCAGAAAACCTCAGACACAGTGGTGGGCATGGAGCCAACTGAAGTACAACAGGTACATCTCCCTGACTCAGAAATATGTAAAGAGGACAAGTCCCAACATGATATGGAAGATATGATCACTGATGAGCAGAATACGGAGGAAACACAAGAAAAACAAGAAGTTAGGATTACTCGCCAAGTTGTGATAACAGATGATCATATCAGTAGCATAGCAGCAATGAAAACTTCAACAATAGATTCTGAAGAGGACTGGGATGCTATACTAGATCTGACTGATAATGAAACTGATCCTGGAATACAAATCACTTCGCCTGGCCAAAGTTCAGATCTGAAGACAACCTTCCAAAGCATCCTAGATGAGGAGGACTTCTACAATGAGAATGCAGAAGCATTGCACTTGGAAAATCCCATGGAAGAAATCATTGCACAAGAACGTCTTATGTACAACGACACAAATACTATAGCCACATCAACATCAGCAGCACTGGAGGGGGAGGACCATGTTACTAGCGACAACCTGTCTGGTTATGAGACTGTGGATGAGGTTGTGGACTCTGATAATGAAGTTCAAGTTGGTGGTAGTGGCTCACAGGTCAGGCTGGCAGCTACTGTATCAAGTCCCAGTGTAAAAGCTTCATTCTTCATATTACCATGTCAAAATCAGTCACCAACTGTGTTGAAGACAACTGATTCTATAAGTTCAAGCATTTCTGTGTTTGTGAAAGACACCAAACAAAATGACTCAGAAGAAATGAAAGCGTGTGAGAGTACTATTGTGAAGGAAGCAGCTTTATCTGGTTTTACTGGTACTTCAGATATTGTTAGCAATGAAGCTGCAAAAGTTGATTCAGGATTTGTGTTGCCAGAACATGCTGGGGTTACCCATGAGGAATCGGAAAAAGTGCCTTCTCAAATTGATTTAGAGGTGACTGTCAGTAAAGATACCAGTGAGGGAGAACCCAGAGGAACAGATTCAAAAGATTTGCCACTGACAGCTACCAGTACAGATGTCCTGTGTGATGAGCCAGAAGAGCCAGTCTGCAGGGACAGTTTACAAAATGACTTGGGCCACAATCTGAGAGAACTGTTAGAGAAAGCGCTGTTTGAAGCACTAATCCAGAGTGATAAAAAAGGGGCCGAAAAAAAGCCTTTGGAAGTGTGTAATAGTCCCATGGCATTGGAACCATCTCACTCTGAAACAAGTCAAAACCAGGTCTCTCCTTCACTAAAGGAAGAAGTGGACACAAGCATGCAGAATAGAGAGCAAAAAAGTGATGCTACCAGTGGGGCTGGTGAACAAAGCCAAATGTCTTCATCTAAAGAGAAGGATGTACCTTGTGAGAACACATCTGAGAGTGCTGGTCCAGGGGCAAGCATTGCCAATAAAATAGTTATTGATGACAGTTTTAAGGAGCCAGTAGATTGTGGTGCCATCGTGAAATTGCCTCAAGTTGGTAATGAAAAGATAGGCCAGGTGTTGTCTTTAAATAGCCAGCATACCACAGAAATTAGTCCAGCAGCTGCTGTTGTTTTGGAGACTTGCATTGGAAAACAAGGTCAAGATGCAGTCAAGCCAGTAGAACATAAAGATAGTGCAGACGCTGCTATTGCAAAAGAAGAACAGAGGGCATCACATAGTAAATCAGGAGAAGACCAGAACACCTCTGTGCCCCTACAAAGTAGCACAGTGAAGTCTGACTTGCCAGCTGCAGACATCAGAGTTGTACGGGACAGCTGTAGCAAGGAAACTCCGGCTGCAATCACCAGCCTTACAACTAGTGCACGGGTGGAAGACAAGCCTAAGCCCTGCACAGATACCACAACAGTGTTCACCAGACTTGAGAACTCTCCGCAGAAGAAGTCAGAATCTGGAGTGTTTAACAGACTTGGCGGGTACAGCACCAAACTGAAGGGCAAGAAGTCGCGAGCCGAGTGCTGCACCAAACCACGCTTCCACCCTTACCAAGGAAAGGCTCCTACTGACAGCAAAGGGCAAGGGAATGAGAACAACGTCCATCTGTGTAAAGAGTCACTAGAGGAGCTGAACCAGTTGGTCACTAAGGAAGACAAACAGGCAGGATCTAAAAAACGTAAGAAACAGCGCAAGAAACAGCAGAAACCAGGCCCCAGCAGGCTTTACAATGAGCTACAGGACAGACTACAGAGGGAGGGCCATGATATCAGGGAAACCTACTACCTCGATGGCGGCAGTGAAAATCCGTACGACGAGGGTAGATTTACTGGCAGGGGGTCAGATCCAGAGTATTGTCTTGAAGAGATGCCCTGTGTTCGAAACAGTGACCCGTCTGATATGACGTCGAAAACGTATCGCTTCAAAGCCACCATCAAGGTCAAGTTCCCAAAACGGGACAAGGACTTCCACTGCTATCCAGCTCCACAGCTTCCCAGGTTCAAAGACATTCCTGATAAATTTCCTCGGCATCAAATGAAAAAGAAAGAGAAAAAGTAAACAGTCACCTATAAGTACAAAGTTGATATCCAGTTTAGAAAGACATGCATTTCATCAAATTATGAAGTTTTTAATGCAGTGAGAGCCATGCTTGTTTCTTCCACCACGGTATTGATGCAAGTATGAAAGAGTAAAAAGTCCACAGAAGAAGAATAAACATTGTACTTTAATCTTGAACACCTAGATTACTTTCTTTCAGGATGACAATTTGTTGTCACCAGAAGTAGTGATACTATGGTTTGACACAGGAAGAATCTTGTAAATGTTTGGGCAGTCTCCTAAAATCTCTTCCATTCAGCATTTATTGTTTGATATACACTGAATCAGGTTTAGGAACAGTTACTGTAGTTTTGATATTCCATATTAACTTCTTTCTTGATGTCTTATGTAGGAATTAAAAGTTTCTACATTAAATGTTCAAGTTTTGTTTTGGATGTCCTAAATAATTGTCTTGAAAACTGTATGATTAAATATATTAAGTATTTATTGGATTATAGCATTGTCAAAGTCTTAGACAGCATCTGCAGTAGAAGTAATGGCAGTATCAAAATTGTCATTTTTCAAGTTAAAGTCTCCTGCTGCAGATCATTCGCTTCCTTTGCAGTGCTTGTTGAGAATTCTTGAGAAGTATCCTTTTTTTTTATTTCTTTGATAGATAGTTGCCAATGGTACAGAGAAGGGTACTCGGGGCTCAGAATACTTCTCTCCTTACCTGTAATACTGCAAGCTGACAAAATTTTATTGGCAATTTGGAAAATCTCTCCACTCAAGAACCTGTTCCCTCCTTACTACAATCTGCTCAGCCTGCAAAATTGCAAGTTCTTAATGTTTTTCTACGATGCTTTTTTTCCAGGTAACACTAACAGGTTGATAGTTCAAGCCCTGATACTTGTATCATATTAGAATAAGTGGACTTTGTTTAAGTCTATAGACAACTTTGTTGTATAATTTGTTTAAACAATTGACCAACCAGTGCTACTATGTGCATTGACTGTTTTCTGTATACTGTAAGATATATTTTGTCCTCTGCAGGGTATGTTAGATACTGATATGATGCTAACAATGCAGATGTTTGGAAAATTTGATGACCGAGTTCAGCAAATTTTTATTCTATCGGGGTACTGTTTCTCCAGAAAACTGGCATATTATATTGCATTAGCCCTCTTACTTTTAACATTAAACTACTGTAAAACACAACTTTTCTCAGTGCAAACAGTATTGTTGACCTTGTTCAGCACATTAAGGAGATGCAAACTTGATTTCGTGGATCACTTCCCCGTGACTTTTTGGTTTGTCAATCATCAGAGCAAAATCAATACCCACATAAAATTGAGTTTGCACAACCGTACCAATCTGTATTTTTAACTTGAATGTGCAAGGGAATCATAAATCCATTAGGTTGAGGGGGAAAATGTAAGTTAAAACCTATGAAGGACACATTATGATCTATCAAGCTGATAGTGTCGTGATGTGTTGGTTGGCATCTTATGTTGTCTGTTATTACATTGTTGTTTGACACTGAATGCATTGATTTACCTTTTAGTGTTGATTTCTTATGTGTCAGCTATATACCAAACAAGGCAATAGATTTGTGACAACTCCATGGTCATGACACAACTTGCGGGCATACCATGCCTAGATGTCAGGTGATCTGGCCTTACCATGTGAAGCACATACCCTTCCATTTGTTGATCAGTGTCCTTGACTGATACACAGCTCTTGGAACGGTACTGTACATGTATTATGATGTAGATATCTTTCATCAACAGAAGTGCATGGCTTCATATGGTTTTCCTTTGACTTGAAGTTTAAAACTGCCATGTGGTTTATGTTTTGCAATTAAGTCAGTTAAAAAATAAAGATACTGGTATTAAAACAGCTCAAATTATTTACTGTGAAGTTGTCATGATTTTCAAAAAGATTTCAGTAAGTGCAAGTTATCCTATCGCATGGAGACTGTAACCAAATGCAAGACTGGTACAAGAGTTAGTAAAAATGAGTTTTTTTATTATAATTGGACGGTACAGTTTCTATGCTACCATCCTTTATGACTATCGGATAACCACAGTTGACATAATAATGTTTAGGGATTTGGTAAAGCTTTGTACAATGCTTGTGACGAGCTACCAACACCACGACGTACAAACAACCAATTCCTTTACTTTTGACAAACCATGAGTTTGTTACATCATATATACACAGTCACAAGTAAATAATGGTTGATGAATTTGCCATAGGAAATTTTCGATATTCCTCAATAGTCTCAACATGGTCTCAAATAAAGTGATGTGAAATCCAGGCTAAATCTTGTACCACAGCACCTTAGAACAGTATCCTGTTCTTAGCTGCTGACCACTTCTAAATCCGCTGAGGTCGTTTATAAATGTCCCGGTATGTAAGAAGCCTCAGTTCCTTTCATCACTTGTAGTTTGGAAGACTTGTCTGTTTAATCCTTACTACCTGCTTGTGATTTTTCTGCTGGTTTCTTCTCAGTTTTGGACGGGGGATCAGCAACCTACAGAAAGGGAAAAAAGAGTGGAACTTAGCAGTTGCCCCTAAATGGCAAACATTCCCACCTACATTTTCAATACTTACACACAAAACAGCAACACTGTTCAAAACTTTGATTATAGAATGCACATTGACAATGACAGATCAACAAACAAGCAAACAAACCAGTAAAGTCAACAACACAGTCCATTCCAATGAATCAGCACCAGTATTGTACCTTTGCCTTTTTTACTATAGTTCCCACAGCAGATATAACAGTGGTTTTCCCTGTGGTGTTTGGTGCTGCTAGAGTGACTACAGTAGGTTTGGTGGTAGTGATGGTCTGGATCTGGGTAGAACTCTGGTCCCACTTACTCTTCCTCTTCATCGGGTCTGCAGGTTCTGTGCACAAGGAGGAGAGAAAATTGGGATAAATATCATAGAGTATCTTAACGGTCAATTGCAGTTAGAAGATCTTTCCAATTGAAGTAGTGTTATAATGATTGTTAAATTTATTCGACAATTGCAATTACACTTTTTTAATATAGCAGAACTGACCTGTTTTAACAACACCAGCTACGCCTGTGGTTGTCTGTGTGACTGGCTTCTTGGCAGTTCCTGTGAGAAACTCAATCTGAAACAGAGTTCAGTTGGAAGTTAACTTAGCAAGTCCGAGCTTTAGTTTAATTTATTGCTTTGCATGCTATAAGCTAGATCAGCCCCCCCCCCTTCATGAAGAAAGAACAGGTCTCTGATAAGAAACTCCATATTTGAAATAAAATACAATCATCTTATTTGTAGAAAAAAATAAGGAAATAGGAGACTGACTGACTTCATTCACCTTCGTTCTGTCTTTCTTTTCCTTTTCTCTTCTAGCCATGTCTTCCTTTTGGGCCTTTGCTGAAATAAGTTTTAACAACATCAGTATACTATCCATACAAATAAATATAAAGTGAGTACAATCCAATATGTCTAATTACTTCACATATAACTTTACAAATCTAATCATTCACTCACACTACACAGACATACTATGATCTGCCACATACTGTTTATTCACATAATACACCAATTTTGAAGAATAATTACCGCTTACAAGCTGTGTAAGATGAGAATGTGCTATAAATTCTTCTGTTCCAAATTTTTGATCTGTTTTAAACTTACCCAGTGCTTCATAGTGGGAATCTTCCCCCCACATGTGTGGATTGTAAACGTCCTGGACAACAAGAAGGTAAATAGAAGATATTTCAAACCTGTATTTTAAGAGAATCTCCATTCAAGTTCATGGGATATCACATAATAAGTAAATCATTTGACATTGTTTTCTAACACAAAACACTTCTATAGCTTCAGAAAGGTTAAGAATCCTAACCTATTTGAATTCATATCAACTCTTACCTTTGGATAATTGGTCCCATTTTCGTCTATCCCTATAAAGTGTATCAGTTTTTCATAAATGCTGTAAAATAAAAGAAGGGAGGATGTCAAAAAGTGTAAAATGTACATTTCAAAATCTGTTCAAAACTTCAATGTTAAATACAGAGTGTTAAGTTCATTTATCGATGACTTGAAATGAAATGTACCTGGGGTTTCTGAAGTCTTTTCTTCTCTGGATCATCTGGTTCAGGTCTCTGCCTCCTCTCATCTGGTCATACAATCTGGATATTTTTTCCTGACAAAAATCATCAAAATTTAGCAGTATGAAAAGGTACAATTAGCCACAAATTCCATGGTTTTTAATTTTTTTTTCATCTTGTTTTATGTCTTATCAAATCATTTAGCAGTTAACCTGTTTTTCTTAAATTTTTGATAATACTAAAACAGCATTGTGCTCTTAATATTTGATCCACTACATGAAAGCACATGCAAAATGGAGATTGGATATACACTGATGTATATATCCTTGCTCTATATCATACACTTATGGTGACAATATACAGATTTTGACAAGTGCTAGATAAGTAGCTTTACCTGCATTTGCTTGGAACATCTGCCAGGGGGCTCTGGTGGCAACACAATGTCATCTTCACTCATGTTTCGGACACTCTCTGACAAAAGATCTATAAAGATGTACAGAAATACAACTTAGCACCAGGTGATACACACAAACAAAAACATGGCAGTTTTTTTTTTTGAAAACTGAAAAATGATAGTGTGCAAAATAGGTCAAGATATGTAGCAGTAGTACAACCTCGTCCCAACAACTAAGACAAAATCTGTTCTTGGCAGAAGCACATATGAGAACAACACTTGATAGATAAATACTTGTTTACCTTTAGGACCAGAATCCTGTGAATCATTGTCACTGTCCACCATTGCTATATCACCCTGTTGTAGTGAAATAAAAAAAAGGTTTGTCAACATATGTAGCAGTACAGAAATCTGAGGTCCAACCTAAAAATGCAATACAAATTTGGTGCCAAAAGGCTCCTTTAGGAAGGAGAAGGTAAAGCCTTACCTCTTCCATTCTTCCTGTAAGGTAGTCATCCTCATCCTATCAAAAGAAACAAACAAGAGTCACGGGTACTCACCGCCACCCAGCTGGCGGACAGGGAGTGGCGCCCCTGCCCACTGAGGAGCTTGTAGTCTGTAGTCAACAGACTACAACAACATATATATACACATATACACAATACAAAATAAGAGCGACACCCCAAATCCAAACCGAAAACCCCTACCCCTCACCGTGCCGGAGCCCTCAACTTATTGAGGTTGTGCACGTACGGGAAAGAAGATTGTGAGTTATTATAACTGGTCATAAACCTATGTATTGCCATAAATCTTTACATTCATCTCTCACATGCTATGCTATTTATGTGTATCTATAAATTATAATACCAATGAATGTGCGGCTATTCTCTTTTCTTCAAATGCTAATCAGGCAAGGATTGGACAAGGCCGAAGAGAAATTTTGTGCGACTATGGTCATAGTATGGACCATCGTGCAGTAGAGTTACCTCTTCTCTTGGCTCCTCCATGCTGGTGTCTTTTACTTCATCTTCATCCCCTGCTCCATAGGCCACCAGGCCAACAGCTTTTTGTGCTGCATTGAATATATAGTAGACATTCATACGAAGTGAAAACCAAGCACCCTGTGCACAAATATTCTACAGGGAAGTATGGTTTCTTCATGCTTTTGTCAAAATTTATCATCTCAAAGACTTACTCACTGCTCCGGCATGTAGGGCAGCATCAAAGATGATTCCAAGACAACTCGGCCCCTGGGACAACTCGGCCCCGGCCATTCAGGACAACTCGGCACCAACCCCAGGACAAGTCGGCCCCATAATTTCTCTGCAAATAATCTGAATTTTGGATTTAAAAAAATTATAATCATTATCGATCCAGAAGATTGACTCTGATTTAAACTTTTTACTTGGCCTTAGCAGAGACATTGTGTATAATGTCCTTGGCCTTAGTGACATTGTATTCTTTTAGCGACGACGGACTTGGCCTGCTGGGCGCCGCTAGCGTAATGCCCCTCCCGCTAACGCAGCTATGACGGCCGCGGCCCGTGCGAGTAATCTAACGATCCAAGAAACTGCAAGAACTTACAATTTATATTGATAAAGAAATTGCATGGAATCATGAAACATTTAGTGACAAATTTTCAACGTTCTTTTATGTATTCTCGTGTGATTTCGGCGGGCGGGCATGACGAAAATACCGGTATGGCCCCGCTAGTATACTTGTAATTTGCTTTGAGCGGCACAGCCCGTCATCGCTATAAGAAGAACATGTCTTAGTATAGAATGAAGTTAAGATTATAAAATTTGTCAGGAGGCTACTAATTCTCAGAGCCCAAAATACTGATGATTTATTGAGAAGTTGTGGGGCCGACTTGTCCTGGGGTTGGTGCCGAGTTGTCCCGAATGGCCAGGGGCCGAGTTGTCCCAGGGGCCGACTTGTCCTGACACCTCAAAGATTTCGTACGTGCTTTTCTTTAAAACAAAATGGTTGTTGTTGATATATTTCTACGTAACCCTGGTAGATCCGACGACAACACACTTGAATATCATCGCCATTTGTTGAGAGTAAGGGCTAGTTCACGTTTTTCAAGGCGGTTCAAAGATTTCATACTGCTTTTTCCAAACAAAAATTCGGGTTTATGCCCCCCTCCCCAACATGCACAGACACGCTAACCTGGTTTCACGTTTCCCTCTGTCTCCTCGTCCGAATCTTCCTCATCAGAACCGCCGTAAGATATCAGGGACTTGATAGCAGTAGAAGACTCCATGTCTGATGTCTGTGTGATGGTATTTACAACAAATTTAGACGCTTCTCTTTCGTTTCCGACGCGTGCCGCCGCTGAAATGTTTGAAATCTCGCTCTTCTATCAAATCTCGCGAGATGTTAAGTGCTGGATGTAAGAATAGTCCATTCTGTAAAATAGGGGTGATAAGAGTCGCGATTTTCGATTTTTGTATACTCCGAATCGATATCGCGAAAGAGAGACAGAAGTACAAAATTTGGATTACTATGTAAACGACAGGGAGACTCACAGCAGCAATGTTATAGAATTTAGATAAAATTGTAAAAAGATGTTGTTGCTGTTGTTGTTATCCCTTTTCAACGCCTAATATCTCACTATAAAAGACTCTTTAACTTCCCCTAACGTTATGCAAATCTCCATAATTTGTTTAGGTTAACCTTATGTCCTTGTACATTGTTTAGACAACTTTGTGTTAAAATATCGCACGACGTGGCATTTGTGGTGGTGTGGAAAATCTGTCGTTGTTCAAGAATCGCACAAAGCAGGTATGTATGATGAAATAACAATGCGGGTACATTTGCACGCATATTATGCTTGTTCATCTTTAGTCAGCGGACGATTGTGCATATGCGAAGAAATGTAAATCACTGCGACTCGAGTACACATTCATTAATGTTACATAACAGTTAACAGTTACACTAACGTTAATGAAGTTCGTCAGCTCTCGAATATTTTGATTACAACACTTCTTTTATTACATCACTGATGTGGTCACATAAACATCCTATTTTGAGGAAATGTGTTTTATCTAACCTCATACCTGGCAAAAGCATTTAACATGTTACTTGAAAATATGAATTACGCACACAACCGAATGTTGTTGACACATCCGGGAGTGGCGAGGCCTTAACTGATTAGTGATTAACGTTAACTACTTTGTTTACAGGTAAAGCGGTTACAACCGTCCTTTTCAGGGTAGACCGAACTGAAGGAAGTTGCCCGGGCAAAAAATGAAGAACAGGAAACTCAAGCTGTATTTCATGGCTCTTATAATTTCCTCCGTGTTCCTGTATTACTGGATTATCAGTCACGCAGGTCATATGATGACACCAGATTCGTCCGTCCTGTCGCAGTGGGAAGAACTGGGAGAGTGGGACCGCGACTCTGGTGAGATGGGTGGCGCCTTGAGACGTGAGCACGGCGGCGCTTCTGAAGATCACGGCCACGACGGATCCTTCAACCAGTCTGGTCTGCTCTGATGCCAGAACCAGGAAAGGAGGGCACAGGACGTTCTTAGTGAATTAATTTGTGCCATAAATGTCGGGATCATGTGTCACAAGCGAGACCGAACCACCGTTTGTAAACGTTTACAGTCTAGTAGCACATGGAATTCAGCAGCCGTTAGTGCAGTAACGTTATTAAACGTTAACTTTTATAGTTTTGCTTCCAATTTTTCTTCGCTCGATTTTTCTTCTGATCTTAGGCTAAGTTCAAGCAGTTACTTACTGTTAGGATCCCTGAGACCACGTTGTCATGACTGATGCAACCTTAAGCTTGATAAGATAAGGGCGAAAATACATAACAAGTTAACGTTAGCTACTTGATACGTTATTATATAATGTCATCTTGCGTCATTTATTTATGTTATTGTGTTGAATAAAGAATGTCTGCTTTATGTAACATTAACTTGTTAACGTTAGGTCCAACGTTACAATGACTTAGAGTGACACATGCCTGTCCTTGGTGCTGAACGCCATCCACTACAGAGGTAACGTTAAATGCACATGTGCCTGGTGTTATCCACAAATAGACCTTCTCGAAAGATTGGGACGCAGAAAATATAGGGAAAATTGTGTTTCGTCAAAAAGCTAGTGCCCAAGCTTTAGGCTCAGTCAACTTTTCGATTATCCGGCAGGAGACTTGAAAGCTGAAAACAAAAACGTCCTGTTTGTTGAGTAACGTCTTGTGAAAGCAGGATAAAATGGGTTGAGAAATTATAAAAGTTCATTTTATACTTTATAATGCAGTAGGTACTGACGAAAAGTATAGGTTTACGGCGCGTTTTGCATAGTCCAGGTCAAATTCAAATTTCCCGCCATTCCAAAGACACTCGGTGTCAGACGAATCAAAACAAAGATGGCGGCCTGACCAGGGCAAGTCGTGGCACAGCCGTCATTCATCCAACAATTCTTCTCAGAACTGACGCAAAACTCGGCACACGACAATGTCCGGGCTCGACAGAGTAATACAGACCCTGAAGGATGTCTTTGGACATGACGAGTTCCGCTCGGAAGCCCAGGAAAACGCAACGAGGGCCGTTGTACGAGGTAGGCAGGTTGGAAAGGGGAGGGGGGCACATTAGCTTGCCTTCCCCAGAAAAAAACGAAGGGGAGGGGGGCGTTGGAACATACAGGAGCAAGTACTGGCTTACGTCGAAGACCTCTAAAATATTAAAATGCTCAACATTTAACGCACCCCGCTTGTCTGTAGTGATATCATGTTATATGCCATTGCATAAGCATATTATTTGACAGCTGATTTGATTGGTCAACTGGGAGAACAGCTGGGTTTGTGCAGTTATCAATATCATCTGTACATATTTAGTGTAGACTTGAACCATACATAATTTGTTCATTTATTATACATGAGGAGGTTAGAGAGCCACCATGTAACATCCTTTTTCAAAGTAATCAAGACTTCATGGCAACTGTCATGCTGCATATCAGATATCAAACTGTAAGTTATGGGTACTCCTCTACACCATTTTTGTTGCATAACACCCACATCTATATCAACTTGTAAATAACTTTATACATGTATAAACATTTTTCCATTGGCAGTTGTATGTGTATTGGTAGAGGTATATATGTAGTCATGTAGAGAATACTGGTAGTACTAGTACTGATAGGGAATGACCAAAAATGAAAACATGTCACAAAGTGACCTACTGGTTGTCTCCAAGCAGATGTCATAAATGAAGACATCTAACCCAAGAGTACTTTCTGCATAGTTCTTGCAGGAACCATGACAAAGGTTTGGTTGGGGTTTATTTTCTTGTTGTAACAGCTTGCAATGTTGTTAATTTCACATATATTTTGTTGTTTGTTTGTTGTTTAGCCCGTTGTTGTTTGTTGTTTAGCCCGTTGTTGTTTGTTGTTTAGCCCGTACCTGTAGTGGGAGGAAGGATGTGTACATCTCCATGCCAACAGGAGCAGGGAAGTCTCTGTGTTACCAGCTGCCAGCTGTCATGGCTCCGGGCATCACGATGGTGGTGTCTCCTCTTATTGCACTCATGCAGGTACACACAGTGTGTTTGTAACTATGATTGGTCATTTGGCTTGTCCGTTGTAGTCTCCAAGCATATGTGTGGCTTGAACGCAGAAGTATGAAAAGAAAAATGTTTTGTGAATTCTAATTTTAAGTACTGTCTATGCTATTGTACTGTCTCATGCTATTGCCTTTATCATTTTAGTAAGACTTAACTATATATTGATTCATACATTTAGATTGATTTGGCATTCATTCCTGAGGAGCATGTGACTTTGTCCTGTTTCAGGACCAGCTAGAACACCTCCGCAAGTTGAACATCTGTGCAGAGTCTCTCAACTCCAAACTGAGCGCAAAGGATCGCAAGAGAGTCCTCGCCGACCTTCGCAGCTCCAAACCCAAGACCAAACTCTTATATATCACCCCTGAACTGGCTGCTACACCCGGGTTTCAACAACTCCTGGAAACCCTCAAGACGAGGAGGTTGCTGGCTCACTTAGCGGTGGACGAAGCCCATTGCGTATCGCAGTGGGGCCACGATTTTCGTCCAGACTACCTCAAACTGGGCAGCTTGAGAGAGAAGCTAGAAGACATCCCCTGTATCGCACTCACAGCCACTGCCACCCAAACTGTACAGAAGGACATCATAAAGAGCTTACACCTGCAGGAGCCTGTGCAGAAGTTCAAGACCAGCGTGTTCAGGCCTAACTTGTTCTATGATGTGAAGTATAAGGAAGTGCTGGAAGATCCTTATGAAGACTTGAAAGACTTTGCTGTGAAGGCATTGGGAGAGGAAGGGGTAGAACCAGTCAAGGCAGTGAGTACCTTGCTTTAGAAACTTTCCATCTGTAAGCATTTCTTTCCGTGTATAAGCAAGCAAGCATGCAAGCGTTTGTTTACAGAATTGTGCATACACTTGTCTTTTTTCTCTATGAGTACATTATACCTCTCAATGCTAATATATCCATGCATCTGCTGGCATCCACCTACTTTGACACTCACATGAGATCATATGAACGAATCCCCTCTGTAGGCTAACAAGGGCTGTGGGATCGTGTACTGCCGAACCAGAGATGGTTGTGCAGAGGTAGCGGCCAGACTGACCAAGAAGGGTCTCCTGTCCAAGGCGTACCATGCAGGACTGAAGGACAGTACCAGGGAGGAGGTACAGACTGACTGGATGGAGGGCAAGGTTCCTGTCATCGTCGCCACCATCAGTTTTGGGATGGGAGTGGACAAGGCAACTGTCAGGTACGTGTACAGGCTCTCATTTCCTTGCCAAGTTGTTAGTTTATCATATGATGAAAAATTTTCTCAGAAAACATTTCAAGAAGTCATGGATTGATGAATCCCACAGCTGTGAAGTTCATCACTTTTTAGTTTTGAACTTTATGGCTGTGAAGGGACTTCCTCTTAAGATGATGATGTAGTGCATGACCAAGGACTTTTGGCTAAAATGAAATGACATAGAACAAAATGAAATGAAATTAGCTGAACTCTTTTCATGTCTTTGGAAGTCATCTATGGTCTCTGGAAGTAGCTCAGAACTTGAGAGAAATGGGTAGTGGAATATTTTTCATTAGCTTGGAAATGTTGGGTTTCTAGCTTAGATACATATTTCAATGCTAACTGAAGACTTTTGCCTCAGGTTTGTTGCCCACTGGAACATCCCTAAGTCCATGGCAGGGTACTACCAGGAGTCTGGGCGTGCAGGGAGAGACGGGAAACAGGCCTACTGTAGACTGTACTACTCCCGCCATGAGAGGGACCAGGTCTGCTTTCTCATTAAGCAGGACATCGCCAGGCCAAACAAGGTAGGACTGAGGCCTTGGTGTTATCTTCTAGACTTACGCAACTGACAGTTTAACCACAGGCGCTAGGCCATCGAGTTTTTGTTGAAATCTATATTGTTTTGTAAATGTCCTTGCTATTAAAAACTATTTTACAACCGTGATTGTTGTGTGTACTTACTCAGTCTGTTGCCTTCACAAAACAAAAGGAATGAACACGGTCCGTTGAAAGATTCCCGAGAATCATACACTGAACACAAACACCGTAAACACGGTCCGTTGAAAGAGTCCCGAGAATCATACACTGAACACAAACACCGTAAACACGGTCCTTTGAAAGAGTCCCGAGAATCATACACTCAACACAAACACCGTAAACACGGTCCTTTGAAAGATCCCCGAGAATCATACACTCAACACAAACACCGTAAACACGGTCTACAACCTGACGAGGATTCCAAAGAACCATACGAACATATACCGAAGTCTCCCGAAGATTGCTGAGAGCCGAACGGCGGCTTCAGAACGCTTTAGCTTTGTTAGTACTAGTATACACTAGGTGCGAAATGCCAATTCTAAAGACCCTATTTTCTGCGAAATACCACAAGGAAAATAAAAGTCTTGATACTGTCTATAATCAAGGGGTAACTAAGTAGCCCTGTCAAGTTTCTTGGGGTATGATATCATATTTTAAAGAAGATATGAAGCATTTTGTAAAGTCCGATTTCCGGTGAACTGCGTTACCAGCAGTACCACTGCTGGCCGCTAATGTCGCTGCTGCACAGGTCAATGACATCACCGCTAGCCAATCAGACGCACGGTAGGCGCCCACATTTCCCGCCACGGTTCGAAAATGGAAACGCGCTTCGACTATTCGAAATCGATCGAACCGGTTCCATTTCAAGATGCCGATATGATCAAGTTAGCATGTAAATCTATACGGGCGACAGAATTTCACCTTTTGTTTTGATTTTCTGTCACGTCGTCTGCTCGACCCGTGCGTCGACCCGTGCGTGGTCGATACCGGCATTACTTCCGGGTACCATTTGCTGGCTGACTTTCGGTAAGTATACAGTGCTAAACCTAATTTTGAGATTATGTTAGACAGTGACGGCTGTTGTTGTTGTTGTTGTTGTTGTTGAATTTTTCTATTGTCAAAATGCATGTTTACTGACTGCTTTAAGCGGCTTAAAGACATATGACTGTGGACTTTATTTCTACTTCTAAAGGATTTTGGAAGTACCGTACAAGTAGTGAAAGTTGACGTTTGTTGTGTTGTCTTTGTTTCAGATTATAATGCTGATTTGTGCGAAGATCGTGCGTACTAGTACATTGGAGTAGGGCTGCTTTTGGTGGCAGTAGTTAATGTTAAGTTTAAATCAAACCTTGTTGGAATGATTTATATATATATTATTTGTTGAAAATCTTGCAACGCCTCTTCCCTCGTAGCATTAGTAGTAGTTGAAGTAGTAGAAATATAGTAGATTGGTTAATTGTAATACACATGTATTAACAATAACAACAACATTACTATAACACCTTGTCTGATAAGTCATGTGGTAGCCTTTATAATTGCTCTCTCAGCTGCCCTCATCCGTCTGTACTTCGCTGTGTCATAATTTTCTTTAAGCTTAGAAGAGAGAGAGAGAGATAAGAATGATCTAAGACATTATGATATGAACATATCAAACACATCCAACTAAAACAAATACAATTGCAGACATGATGGCAGATAAAACTAGGTAATCACCACTAAATACATCATTGATAATTGAACATGTAATAATCAATTGTGTACTCGGAGACCCGCCATCCATGATGGCAGATAAAACTAGGTAATCACCACTTAATACATCATTGATAATTGAACATGTAATAATCAATTGTGTACTCGGAGACCCGCCATCCATGATGTGTCACATGCACACTAAGGGTATTAGACACTGTCACTGTCCTACAGGATTTATGGCCATTTACGAATGTTGGCTCCAATTTGCAGAGATCAATGCCATTCTGGTGCTCAGTAACACACCAGGAAGAAGGAGCTTTCCGAGACTTCATAAACACCACCAGGCTATCAATTGTTGCTGAAGTTGTTGTTGAAGTGATGACAGGGAGAGACGCATTTTCCTTGTTGTCCAGCGCATGTATATTGAAGTAGAATGATGTGGGAAGGTTGTCAAGGGGATAATGAATATACATTTATGAAATACTACTGTTTATTGCTGTACTGACGTTGTTAAAATGTTATGTAGATGTATATTTCTTTGTGCATGTTCATTAAAGAGTTTTGGCTATTCTCTTGTTTCTGATTGATGAGTCATAATTTACAAATCTCGATACATACATGTACATCGAACTTATAGCTTTTAAAGTCTCCATATTTCTAAAAAAAACATTTCCCCACACAATATATCAAAGGATATTGTCTCCCGTCGACTGTACCCAGCCTTTTCTTGGACATCAGTGGGAAGCACTCTTTCATCGCCAGCCCGAACACATCAAACGGAACTCCGGCATCAGTGTATCGTTCGTTGTATATGCTGTAGGCGTCCGAGGCCTTTAGATATTGACCTTCTCTCTGGGCGAACACGTTTCTGAGCCTAATAAATTAAGCGAAAATGTAATTCAACTGAAAAAAGGCGTGTACCAACTCTACTTACTTAAACTTTACTTTAATTACTCAACTCGCCTATATTGAATTTCATCTACCCAGACGATAGCTGATGTTTCTCTTGGCTTAATGAATGAATGTAAGACCTTTATTGTACGCTTGTGCTCTAACGAGCTAAGTACAGGTCATGGAAAAACAGGGAAAAGAAAACAGTAAGCTCCGTACCGGCCCATATAAAATGCCTATATTAACAAACAATATGAACATATATACTGATCATGTCCATCGTGTTATCTTTCCTTCAGTTGTCAACTAATGTTACTCTGTAACAAATATGCCAGTTCTGTCCCTGATGGGAAATAAGCTCTCAAGTTTTTCGCGGAACAATCACAGTCGGCGCGACACAGTTCAACTGAACCCCCGACATAATGGATGAAGTGTGTCTTCCGAACTAAGCGACTTTTTTGTCACTTTTTCAAGATCTAACAAAAACGTGAAACCCGGGCCCGCCATATATTACTTATAAAAACAAACAAACTTGTAAGCCGTTATACCTTACCTAGGACGGATTAAAATTTGCTCAAAAAAAGTTAAATACATGTGTATTGTACATGTAACGGTACAGTAACCGTTTAAACCTACCTGCAACACAGCACGTCTTTGGTAAGCATCTTGTTAATCGACGAAAATCCAGCCATATCTCAGAATTGAAAACGAAGAACAGCCGAACGTGTTTCTAAGTCACATTTTTGCTGCCACCCCAGTTGGTAACGCAGTCCACGGGTAGCGTTTCCTACCCTGTCATCTTTTTGAAGTTATCCTCGCTAGCGCTAGCCCCGGCTTGGGGTTCTATCGATTCCCGCAGCGGTTTTGCGAACGCGTTCGAGTAACTGCGAAACCGGTTCTACTCCCGTCAGCCTTTGCGCCATCTATCTCCTAACCAGAACGCCGATTCCGAAGTAACAGCTAAGTAATGAGTGTGCTTTTTATTGTATGATTCAGCGGACCAAGTACACAGTATGTGTTATACATGTATGGTTTATTGTACGTCTGGTGTTTGCCTTCAGTGTATGATTCTCGGGGATCTTTCAACGGACCGTGTTCACGGTGTTTGTGTTCAGTGTATGATTCTCGGGAATCTTTCAACGGACCGTGTTCACGGTGTTTGTGTTCAGTGTATGATTCTCGGGACTCTTTCAAAGGACCGTGTTTACGGTGTTTGTGTTCAGTGTATGATTCTCGGGAATCTTTCAACGGACCGTGTTTACGGTGTTTGTGTTCAGTGTATGATTCTCGGGAATCTTGTACGGAGTGCACAGTGAACTTGTTGTTCAGTTACCTAAGTATATATTTAAATAAAGTAACAACGATCTCAACAAAAACTCGGTGGCCTATCGCCCATGGTTTAACAGTTACAGAGCTAGAGTTAATGCACTGAACACATGTACAGGCCTGCTACTTGTGTTACTGTGTAGAATAATTTTAGGCATAAAATAACAACCCATATACATGTCTTTACCACATCTGTAGGCCAATGGACCCAAAGGAGTGCTGGGTCCAAATGCCAAGTCTGCAATGGCCAGTTTTGAAACCCTTGTCAAGTACTGTGAAGAGCCCAAGTAAGTGTTCTCAATGTTCTAAATTGAAATGTGTGATGATTGTTTGGTGGAATATGTTGTCATGGTAGGATGTGATACTTGAAATATACATGTATCCTTTATTAGTTACTTCCACCATTCTATGGTTCTGTGGGATAAGAAGGCATATGGGCATCTGTCTTCTGCAAGCTGGAAAAGTCCAATTTGCTGGACAGAGGCATTGCTCAAAGATGCCTCCTAGCAGAAACAAAGAGTACTGCCAGCAGTAGTTATATACATACCAATATACAGTAGTACCATACATTTTATGGATTAAGTCTATATGTCAAACTTGTGAATTGATCTTATTTATGCTAACTGTATCCTTTGCAATCAGTTTCATTAGTCTTGTACTATTACTGGTAGGCCATGGCAGCAAGTGATATTTTCTTTGGGAAGATCTTGGTTGAAGTGTCCAAGGGCATTAGTTCTGCTTGGCTTTACACCAAAATTGAATGTACATGTACATGTGCTACTTACTGCTTTACTGGGAAGTTCAAACATTTAACAGCTAACCATTACTAGATCAGTATAACATGTAAGACTATAAATGGACTTGCACAAAATGAGCTTCTTTTTTATGTTTATTGTACAAAGTACAGCAGTACAAAGTTCAAGAAGAATAATTGTTCCAGTCATAGATATATACATTTCTTTTGTCCATGATTATTTCAAACATTTAGTTCAAAAGATAGATAATGGAGATTGTAGATCAATCAGGATCATTTTGTATGCTTATTTTTTTTTTTGGTAGTCGTAGTATCAACCTTTTTTCCACATAAAGCTTATGTTTGTGGTAAAGGAAGCAATGACAACATGCCATGGAGTATAATGAAATGTCATTTGTATATATAGAAGCAGGATGTAGACTGAGATATTTGTATTGTAAAGTTTCTACTTTCATCTTGCCAACATCAAAGCATCGACTTTTAAATTGTCATCATGTTTGATATCAGAACAGAGCATTTCACATTCCATAGTCAACTCCCATGATATTGTGATATTTATAAGGCAAATGAAATCCACAGGGCAATGATATCCTTTTTTTAAACTTAGAGAAAGCAGAGGATAATACTTTTCACACAAGACTTATAACATATGTACACAAACGCTCACGTGCATAGCTATGGTCAGTCACTTTTCACAACACAAGACATCATTTTGCAGCAAACACAGCTTAAAACAACAAAAAAAACTTTTCCAAATATGCAAAGTACATGTAATGGTATTTGCATGTGAATGCCACTATACATTAACCATTTGAGAAATCTGATTGTAGATTGTCAATCGCAATTCTATAAATGTTTTAGTGTAACTACTCAATCCATTTTGAAGTCTTTTACAAGTACATATAGTGTACAGTCCTACAGATCTAAAAAGATGCTGAACTAAGATTAGTCATGTGGTAAGATATTTGATGATATAATTACATTTTAGAAGATAAGTGATTCTACTCTCCATTGAACAGTTCAGTTCAGTATTAGTTCTTTATTGACAAAATGTTTTAATAGGCTATGATCTGGGATATACTTGGCACATAGTCTTTGGAGCCACATATAGGATTCCATAGAAGGGGTGCCTACTTTGAGGCATAGGTAAGATTCACAAAATATATACACATAATTTCTAGGTTTTCTACAAACATGTATCAACTGATAATCAAAATGATGATATAATGGAAAGGAAGCAGACATGTGCATAATCCTACAAAAGGACAAATTCAGAGATGGATGGATGTATTCTTTTCTTTCAAACTTTAAAGACAGTAGTAATGACTGTAATTCAGTGATTCACTTGCAGCTTAGGAAAAATGGCATTCCTATTCAGAATAGGTATGCTTAAATCTGTCATAGAAACTACATGTACATTCAGTATAATGAAAATCCAGTCTATAGTATATACATGTAGCTGATTTCAATTTGATGTACACATGCTTTTTTCTGAGGGGATAAATCAAAACCTTGTGAATAACTCTTAAGGACAACATGAAAACAGGTATAGGTAGTTATAAGTCCCACCCAAGGCTTGCTGCTCTGCTCTATACATTGTCTAGCTCCACATCCACCTTGCTGCCGTGTTTCCTGCCCTTCTTCCCCCCCTTACAACAACAGCAGCAGCACTTGCAGCAGGAGGCGCAGCAGCCGAAGAACGTGTAGATGAAGCAGATGGTGAACATGACTGCGATGGCACCCACGAACACCGCCAGAACGATCAGGAACCCGATGGTGAACTGGTCCCGCAGGGGGTCGAAGTTCAGCCAGTCGACGTACCAACTGGATACGGTTGAGGCAGCGGTGCCGGCCACGGTTGTTGCAGCATTTGTAGCGGCATTTGTAGCAGCAGCTACGGTACTTGCAGCTGCAGTTGTAGTCATCTTAAAGGTGTACAGGTACCCTAGTCCCAAGGAGTCTGTTCAGGATCTAAAACAAAAATGAGGAATGCTTGATATACACTTTTTCAAAAGTATAAAAGTCTAAAAATCTAAAAGGAAAATGAGGAATCTTTAATATGTACTATTACTTTTTTGAAAGTATTTAAGTCTAATCAGTACTCAGTAATCAATACCAGTATAAATTAAGGCTATTGAGGTGTAAGATAATCTATGAGGTGTAAGTTGTACCATTGTTTCGAAGTTCAGGTGATACTGTTAACTGACTATTGAATTTTTATGCTGTACATTTCCTCAAAGCAAGGTGTGCGTATATTACGCCACACAACAAACAAATTATCTGGTGAGTTCCAGGTAGACAGGAAAGGTGTGTTTTCCTCACGGCCCATGACGTCACGTCTTTCCAGTTAGCCGTGCCTTGCAGCTAAGCTACGGTGCTCTATTTACCTAAACAGTGTGACTTGGTGTCACTCGGCTATTGTTTCCTGTTGCATCAGGGTCAGTGCACTGAATGGTTTGAGACTTCAAAGCTAAACAAAGGCTTGGCAGACAGGGTGGGGTGGGGGTGGGGGGTAACTGCTAAGGTGTACAAAGTTGTGAATTTTGTAAGACTGTACAAGGTGTTGTTGGTGATAAGTGAAAAATGGGAGTTTTAAGTGTATCCTCATACAGAGACATATGTACGAAATATATAATTTGTGAAGATTTGAAGATGCTTTCTCCCAGCCATTTTTTGGCACAGAAAACCATTTAGTTTCGAAGGTGTATAATTATCAGGATAACTTCAGAAAGTGTTCTCGTAAAGCCCTTTTTCTGTCTACCATTATTACAGCAAGAGCAGAGATCAAGAGATTTGCCATAGAATCTTGAAGACATGATCATGTGCATGTCCCACCTTCAGTTGAGTCCATCAGGTTATTTGATATGGATGTACATTTACATGATGCACTAGGTTATTATACAGTCCAGTCAGTCAATGTTTGTGAGAACATCAAGGTAGTAGTACCATTGACACCCAGATAGATGCTTTTGGAAACCTCAAACTATATTCTAGAATCCACGAATCCAAGTTATACCTGCAAAATACTTCTCTAACTTAAGTATGAAGTAAGGTTTTCATTTAGTTTGCACGCCATCCTTTGACGAAAGTCTTGCCACCCAGACTAATTACAAAGTGGAACATGAAAACAGCCAAAATATGTTGTCTAAAATCTAAGCATCTCAAGAAACAAGCAGCCCCTTGTGTGGGCACAGTATTAATCTAATCATGGCAAAACAGGTATTGATTTTTTTCTCTAGATTGAGGTCAGCAAATGGAAACATTGTTGCTGTTTTATACATACACGTACATTCCAAAATGGCTGGTGTAATTGTCTGCTGCCTGCTTTTGCCTGTTCACATTTACAGAAAGTAGGTACATGAAGCAGGGACGTTCATCCTAAGTGTTTGCTTAGTCCACACAAGTCTGTATGAGCCAAGTGTATTGAAAACTCATTATAAAGTGTTTTTATCTACTAATCAATACCTTTTAGGTCAATCAATCAGGTGGCACAAAATATACCCAAAGCATGGAAGAAATATCTTGCTGTTGCCTGTTGTTGTTAGCTGCCCAAAGTAGATATATTAGCTATTGTTTGTATTTGTCAGCAGCATGTTTTCCCCCACAGAATGCCACCTGTCTGTCTGGGCAAACAGGTGTATTGACTTCCAACAGGTGCCCCCCTCCCCCTTAAAGTTAAACCTTAATATCTAAACAAGCATGATGTTTGTTTGTTTTTTTGAGGGAGTCTTTGCCAGGTCAGATATTTTTTAGATTATGAAGTATATTTTTGTGTGTGTGTTGGTGAGAGTTAATTAAGATAGGGCATATCTGTACTGCACCTGCACCCCAGTTTTGTTATTTACTGAAGCAACAAGTGCAAAGAACGTCATGCTTTGTTGGAGTTGAAAGGTTTTTATGATCAGGCTTGGAATCCAGAGCTACAGGTATTACAAATGGAAAATCACATTCGATGTCAATTTCTGTATCACGGATATTTAGACATGTTTCTTCCTCCTATGAAGGAAAGTTAAGCACTGGCAAGTTTGCTGTGTGACACTAAGTACACAATTGCAAGGAAACTTGGCGTGGATTTGTTCCGAAAAACAACCACATTCATCAAGACAAGTAGAGATCAAAACTTGACAAACATCATTATCTTACCTTTCAGTGTTGTCCCATACACCTGTTATAGCTGGTCAGGAATAGTCTTCAAGTTCTCACACAAATCAGCCTACTGGGCGGCAAAACTGCCCGCCTCAGGTCTTATTTTTCACACGCTTGACTGGTGTGACGTCGGCCAGTTTCTGTCACGGAACTAGGTACAGGCTAGCATAGTGGGTGTGGTCGTGCTGGTCACGTGATCAGGTATCCTGCCTCATTAGCATATGAATGGCCCATAGTTAGATTGTGGCTGTAGTCTGAGGTTCCAGCTCATGTTACCAGAGACACTTAGACTGGATAATTCAATAAAGTACTTCCATTTGTAACTGGGAATTGGAAGAGACTATTCTGTTGAACAGGGGTTACTTTTACCAATAGGTTATCTACCGTAGATGTTTCTGAAGTTCTTTAAACATTTATCAATTATGTTTTTTTATTATAAATGTGCAATATCTGAAGATCTTTTTCTCATATGTGTCAATGCTATATGGTTGCTTTTGATACATGTTCACAATTTTTCACAATACTCAATTCAAAATTAAGGTAAAGTGTATAATCTCTTTCCTGCTATTATTAAGGACAGACATTTCTATAGCTTTAGGACTCTTTTTATTTCACAGACTTATGTACAGTGAAACTTCTACCATAAAAGTAAAGTTGGCACTTGTTACCAGTAATACATTCATTGCATAGTCTAGACCACACACACACTGATGCACCTACAGTAATTGTGTAACCTTTATAGAATTATAGTTGCTTTGGCATACTTTAGTTATACCTGTCCATGCTTCTTAAGTACATTATGGCTTTTATTGCTTGAAACAGTGGCAGTTCCCAAAAGGATACACTGTAAATCTAGTTTGATGTACACTATATTAATGGTTCTGTTTGTTACAACATTGTTCCATTAACATGTACTAATAGTTATACTATAAGATTCATGTGGCTGGATTTTCAAATCATTCTCAAGGCTAATGCTGTATGGTATTATTGCAGCATATGAAACAAGCTTAACAACATTTTTAATCCTGACTAGTGTTTAGATATAATGCTTGTACTTGTATGAGAGGTCTTTTTCTGCTTGCTAGGGTATGTCTTTGCATACTCTATTCATACTCAAACCACTGTAACTTGTACATACTAATAGGTGAACTCATTACAGCTAGTACACAGGTAAGGATTATACCATAGATACATATAGATGTTGTTGTTGCCATACATGATTTTCTATTACCTATATTCTATCATTGATATCAATGCAGTTCCTGCTGCAGTTGTAGTAAAAACAAATAAAGTGACTACATTGCAACATAGTTTACATTACTAACTTCTGAACAAAATACAAATTAACCATTCATCATCAAATCATGTAGCTCTAATACAAAGCCAAACTGAATAATGCTTACAATCATTGAGACTGAGCCTTCTTTGTTATTTTATATGCTTCATATTCCTTTTGAATACCTCACATTTTCCAGTCAGACATATTCCAATTGCAGTGTTATACTAAGTCTTATAGTCTATGGAGTCTTTCTTCACTTAACTCTTCAGATGTCATTGCAACATTATATTGTGCAGTTTTCAGCTTTAGATTGCTCCTTCAATGAAGGCTCCGTATGCCATTTTTGGGGGCCCAAAATTAGAAATGTCAGTACATGATCTCTTAATCTTCTGCTGCGTCATTTCATTCAGGTTCTGGTCTTGCAGTATTTTTGCAACATATCTTTCTTTCCTTGTAACAATATAATATTCTTTTGCAAGATGTCATGATGTTGCCACAATACAAAAATCCTGGCGCTCAGAAGAAATAAATATGGATGGTTTTGCGACGTTGTCACATGACAGTTGTTCCAACAGCCTCATGCCAGTCAGTAGAGGCCTCGTCTAGACTAAATCCAGATCAATATTTTCCATAGAATATTTAATGTCCCCATCGCTTGCCTCCCGCACGTAAGGCAGCGCGTTTGCTGATGATTGGTTCGACCCGCGTGTGTCGTGTTCCGGTGTGTTGCTACGCGGTTGACACCTGTGACATGGGCGATCCGACGTCGTCCGCGGCGCGGTACATCTCCGGATGAGTTCTCTTCCAGTGATGACACTTGCAGACATAGCAGTGTATTAGAACTACCAGCAGGAGCAACAACGCGATGACCACTGGCAGTACCACCTCTAGTTGGGCCATAACAACAGCCTGGCCATCATGTCTACTTTGTGTCTGCTCTCATTACCTATAAAATAAATGAATTAATGATTTTTGCATTATCATTATCAAGACATATCATGCAGTAAAGTATGATTTACAATTAAAACAATAACATATATATAAATAAACTAAACCTTGAACTAAACATGAACTAAATAAATGCTAAAATGAATTATTTAATCAGTAAGAATTAAATTTATAACCTTGAGAAAGTTGGGTTTTTATGATCCTTAAAAGTCACGAGTCTATTTAATAGCATGGCCTTATCATTATATGTACTATCATACATGTATATTGCTGATACTATCACTTTACAGCAAGCCACCATGATAGCCTCTATGAAAATCAATACTCAGACAACATAAATGGAGCCTCAAAGGGCTCAGTAGTCTCAAAAACATTGCGGCCTGTAGTATGCCTTATGTCTCTATTGGGCCTACATGTACCCTGTTTGTCAATGTGACTTAATCCTTAGAAAAGATGGATTGACCTACATCACATTTAGCTGTACATTGTCCAGAAGCAGCATTTTGTGGCCTTCTTCATTAATAATAGATATTCCATACTTAAAGGTTACTCTGAATTGTTTTGTTGGTGTTTGAAAGAAGAATATATTCAATATGGTCCATCTACAGACGGTAGACAATTTCACAACTCGCATGTCTTTTGATAATAACACCTTTTAAGAGGCCCCCAAGCTGGGAATTGAAGATATTGCTGCTGCGGCAACATTTGGTAGAGCGGCCACATAGCGTAACAGTCATTTACGATCACATGCTAAATGCACACAGGCAGACTTGCTCCTAACCCTCTTAACTTTTCCGTAGCCATAAACCAGAATGGTAAATGTGTCTGGCTTGGCTTGAATTCTACTGGACATTAGGGCAAAATGTGAAATCCTTGTACACACAGTACAGTCATCTATTACCGGTAATGATAAATAGATTGCTGGTATATATCATTTAATATGGGAACAATCTTTTGCAAAATCAGCTATTAGAAAGTTTTCTTACAGTAACCGAATTCAAGAAAGACAGGGCATATCCTGTGAATTTACTAAATTATATGATGACGATCATATTAAGTTGTTGCAGAAAGAAATGACACATGCAGAAATAATCCCACTGTGGTCTTTGCTATCAATAGGGAGGCCCCATTACATGTACATTACAATAGATTTCTATTCTTCTACAATGCAGATAAATAAAAATGAGTGAATTCTTTCATCTGAAATGACCATGAACTATGCACCATTTCAATTTCTTATTTTTGGTAAACAAAAACAACAAGCTATGCATGGTACTAGTACCTTTCATCCATTATAGACTTACCAACAGGGCAAGGTTTAATCCGTATTGAATCAGGAAGCTGCTGCGAACAGCCTGAACTGACTACCTTCCCAAGTGTTTACCTAGTGTCACATAGAACAAAGACCCCCGGCGGTAGAGCGGTAGGAACAAGAAATCGTTGTCAGAAATCATTACCTGGTACTTAGTCCCAGCGTCTTTAAGCACCTTCGGTCGGAGCAGGAGGCATCTGTCCCCAGCCATCACCTGGAGTTGGCAGGGAAGTAAAGAGCAGCAGAAGCACGACTGCAGTCAGCACCGCTGTAAATTAGTCTTATAAATCAAATTCACAGCATGTAATTACATTGGGGCCTGCAATGAACAGAGGAAATGATTGTGTGTCTCATAACCATGGATTTATTGGGATTCGATGAACAGCTGGGGGGGAAATGTTTTGTAAAAGAGGAAGGCAGGTAGAACTATGTTTTCATATAAATAATACAATAGAACAAAGGTTAGTCTAGCCTTGCACGTACAATGCTACATGGCTCCAAATATGGACAACTAACACGTCACTGTAGGAAAGATCAATGAACCATGCAGATAGCTATCAATCCTGAGGTCACCATGTATGTACAATGTAGTGTTTGACTTTGACAAAGATTTAAGTATTTCCATGCAGAGCTAATGTAGCTGATGTATAAGTCAAAGGTTATACTCAACATGCTAGGTATCAATGGTCTGTCCAGTTTGCTAATTGGTGCTGTGTTGGTTATACATAATCCAAACTTTCTATGTCCTTCAGCTATGTTATTGTTAAATACACATGTATGTACAAATGAAATTCAATGTAATACTATGTATGTGACACTGCCAATACTGTGTTCCTATCATGTTTCACTATTCTCACACAGGTGTATGATTTGTGACAAGGGATATTCTTTACACACCTTCACTTGAAAAAAAGCCATGTGGACACCTGAGTGTGTGGTTATAAGATTGTACTGGAAAGGGGATTGGTTTGATCGTGGGAAAATGTGGGATAAATTCTTTTGTACAAAGTAGAGTGTACTTATATCAGGTGGAAGCTAACATGGCACATACACATACACATGCATAAATGATAAGCTTCTTGATCATAATCTACAAAATATGTCATTGGATATTGGATTAGAAGAACTCACGTTTGTGTGATATTTTTGACAGTTGCTAGTTTGTCGGTAAAATGCCTCAAGCCAAAGACCATTGATAAACCTGTGACCTCACGTCATGTGATTTGAAAATGATGTTTTCTTGGAAAGGTAGTTATCATGATTGAACAGCTGTTCTGAACACATTAGTCTAGGCACTCGTGAGAAAATCAGCTCCAAGAAATTAATGTATCTGACTTCATGAGGAAAAAAGAGTATTTGATCTTACCTTTTATGAATGTGAAAACACTGACAGGTAACCCTGCACATGGGTGGCTCTGACTATGACGATGGAAGCATTCATAAGGTCCACCTTGAATACCGCTAGAGTGTCATGCACTGTTTTGCCTTTGACTTGTTTGAGTTTGTTACAGTGTTTCCCTTTGTAAACTAGAGACCCCACCCAAAATACCCACCTTACCTTGTAATAACATGTTGTATGCAAATGTTCATCTTCCATCTTAGAGCTAGGGTTTAGTTGGGAACAAAGCACAAGTCTTTGTACCCCACAGTCTATTGGAAGTTGCCATGTGAATGCAAAACACAATTCAGAACTCAGTTGATTTCGTTAGCCTGTACCATTCTTACACAATTTAAGGGGGAGGAAAGGATATGTTTCTCTGAGTATAAATATGACTTTGTCGTATTATGACTGACTTTGTATAGGTATAATGATTAATTTTTCTGACTTTTTAAAAACATAATTTTGCACACTGTGGTTACTGTGCAGAGGAAGATTGCAGAACACTCTGAAATGACTGTATCGCCAATACATTGTTATGTTAACTTAATTTTCATACATTTTCGGGGTTAATTATTAGCTGGCATTCCAAAACATATCTGTTAAGGTAATATATATGTGTCCAGGTTACATGTCTTGTGAGTAACGCTGTGACCTCAGTTACTGTGGTAACAATTTTTCCTTTATCTTAATGTCTTTTTGGGCATGTGAGTGGCATGTGAGTAGCCGATTTAGAGGATTATTCAGGGCTTGTTCCTTGAAATGACTTTCAGTTGATGCACCCCCCCCCAGCTTAATTGGTCTACTGCGATAGATATCTTTGGTGCCAGAGCATAGAACGAACCTGAATCCTCAGCACAAAACAAGGACAGAAATATATCACTGTTAAAAAATGCTTTTACGATTACTCTGCATGTATACCATATCTGACAATGAGCTGTATAATGAGTTTAGGATGAACACCAACAGTCAATCATTTATCAACACCATATTTGCCCTCCACAACCAACACATCTCACTTCAGTAGAATGATCATACCTCGATTGCACTGGCACACATGTAATGACCTGAAGGCCTGTAATGTTGTCTATTTTTACATCAAAGACCAGTGCTACTGTACATGCGTTCTTTTCCTTAGTCTAGGCGAGTGAGATTTTAAAAGATCAAAGGACTGCTGTAAGCTATGCTCAGGGTGAAGTTACCTTTCGGCAGTGTGGCACTTGTAGCCATTATGGTGTATGTAATTCTACTGGCTTATCGAGAAAATCTCACACACATAACACCAAACCACTTCAGTACACAAGTGTTGTTGTCAAAGGCTTGCTACAGAACAGATAAACCACAGGACTCGATTCAAAACAGCAGTTAAAAATACTAAATCTCTTAATCATTCTTCAGAATATTTTGCTGCAGGTTTCCAAGTTTTATCCACCATTGCTACATCTTAACATTCCTTATTTGTCCTGCAGCTAAAAAAATTGCAGGCCTGATTGTCAAGGTGATCTGAAAAGGTCTTAATTGAAAATATTCAATGTAATATCTAATAGATTAGTCCAGACCACTCACCTTACTCACCTTACGATGGTTGTGTCGGCACATGTCCATGGGAGGTCCTGTAATTCCTGGGAGCCGATGACATGATGACATTAAATATTAACTACCTGGTGTTATGACATGGGAGGGGCCTACCTGCCATTCCAGTACTGCCACTTACATGCAAGACTGTGAAGTAGGACTCTTGATACACCAATGAAGGTTAGACATCCAGGTTATGAGATACACTAAAAAACAGTTGACAAGCAACTGGATATGATCAAAATAATCTAAATGACTCTATAAAAACAGCACAAATATGGTATGGCAGCAGAAAGAAAAGAAAATGTATGATATTCTCTCTTTATTCTCTGTATTTTGTAAATCTACATAATATTCTATTATGAATTTACAACATCTGTTGTAAATGTATGTGACAACCATACTGTTCAAGCTATTTTCTTCCCTTGTTTAGAGATTCTGGAATAAAGGTCAGATAGCTTTGAAATAGAAATGACCTAAGTCACTGTCACAGGTTCTTACATTGTGTAGACAAAGTACTAATCTTCATGAAATATACATAGTGGAAAAGCAGAGACTTCCAAATCCAATTTTACATGGATAGATACGATTACGAAAATTGCTAAAATAAATACCATGATCATCTCTCACAATGTAAAGTAGCCTGAAATTAATTGAGGATGAAAAGATGAGAGGCGAGTATTTCATATGAAAAATAGTTTAATAATGTAATAGACTTGTAACACCACAATGTAATATATTGAAATAATTGATTTGCGAGTGTACACGGGAGTACATATTGATTGCTATATGAGAAACTCAAGTTTGTACTACAGCTTGCTCATTATAACTATAAGCAAACGCTACTATACGTACTGCAATTTTCTGTGACACATGATTGTGCCAGGATGAAGCCATTCTAATTTTGACATTCTTTTTGCTGTCTATTTTCTTCTAGTACTACTTATTTATTTTGCTTGCCTATGTATACTGGTTGAAACCTTTTTCCTTTCCCTCCTGTTTTCATATTTTAAAAGCTGTCATTTTTAGTAAAAACAGGCATTTTCTAACTTACAGGTAGATGGCTGGATTAGACAAACAGTGCTAGAGGACTTGTAAGAAATACCAGGAATTGCAAAAAAATAAATGACTCACTTCACCTGTATATTGCACTGTGGCTGAACAATCTCTTGGTGTTTATATTCAGTAAGTCATGATATAAGATGAACACTGTTACATACACAATTGTGCACGTACATTTGTACGTAGATTTATCCATAAAGTGTCAAACAACAATGCCATTAATTTCCACTAAATCTCATAAAAATTATATCATAAAGCCATTTGAAAGTTATTCTATTTGCTATTTTGACTGCTTTTTGATGGTTTCTGTAGTCTATTTGATGTATAATCCTACCAATCAATCATTTTTTGCATCTACACACATATGCCTGGCAAAAAATATTGCATTTGTTTTCAAATTCAGCTGACAAAGATCCTGTGACTAACAACTTACTGATATGTAGTGTTTGTACATTCAGCTGAATTGCACATTACTTCATTGAATATTTTACACACACATGTACATTACAACTGTGTAGTCCATGAGATAGTTGCCCATTCCCCGTCCCCGTTAGCGTTTGTCTGCCCCGGTAATGCAGACGACCGCGTTCCCGACCCCTGCTGCATTATCGGTGTCTGTGTCCTCTCCGTACTGCCTGATTTCAGGATCGTATACTCCTTCTGTGGAGTTGTCTGGACTGCTGCTGTTGCTACGTCTTTCTCGAGGTTTTTCGCGTTTAATTCCCGCAGCTCTGTGTCCTTTGGAGGCGTCTGCGTGCCCTTTTCCCTTATCTCATCCTGCTGCGGCTCGTCCAGCGTCATTGCTTTGTTATCGTATCCGATATCTACAATGTGAGAGTTGCTGGGGACTATCGTATGTTCCGTCAAATTTTCACGTGATCCATCGAAGTCCTGTGATCCCACGTCCTCAATCAGTTTGCTCATGTCGTCCTTGGTGTTGCGCTTGGGGAAGCTGATTTCGTTGATGGAGGCGGGCGGTTTACGATCCGTGGCGTTCCATCCGATCATTCCCAGGCAGGGCTCGAAGTAGTACACAAGTGCGAAGAAGATGGTGAGGACGACGATCGCGATTGTCATAAAGACGGGGATGTACCAATCGGAAAAATTCATCTTGTATGATATATAACAGATCCCAGTCACTGTTTGCCAAATTTTCCCTGCAGTTGTTTTGGTTACTTGCCCCAAATGACTGGTCAGTTAAGAAATCCCTTTACTCAGTTTTCGGACACTTCATGAAGAGACAATGAGTCCAAACACCACTGAGTGAGCAGATAGTAATCCTCAATTCCAATGTTTGTCAGTTGTCACGGTATTCCCTTGTAGAGTGCGCTTCACCATCCAGACTTTGCACTGTTCCAAAGGTTCTCAGAAACGGTAATATATTTTGATGATTTACGTCAGTCTGATCTTGGCATCATCGAGCTTCCCATACAGGACAGAAGAAGAGTTTACCCTGGCACTGGCAGGTCCTTCAGTCAGCAGCAGTTGCAGCAGCTCCAGTCCCACATACGTCTCTCACTGTAAGACAGAACAGATGTAGATATCTATTAGGCCATCACTGCACCCAAATGATCATTGATCTAGACAAATCAATATGTTTTGTTCTTGACTACTGTGCTGCGTAATGCAATAGGAATACTGGTACTCCCAAATCGATAAATGTACCTGGCAAAAAGTCCATTCTGGTACAAGGAGATGGGACTTGTCGACTTCAATTAGGATGGGTGTGTGAGAGTTGGCACATTAAGAGAAGTGAGTGTTCGGCCAGTGCTTACAGGCCTGATAAAAGTTCATACTGTGCAGTCATTGGTGGGTACTGCTATATACCAGGTCCATTGAGTGCTCACTATTCTTACATGATCCCATTCAGGTCCATTAAAGCAGCAAGGTTGGATGGCGGTGGAGCACTTGGCCCAGTGTGCATGACGTTGTAATGGTGTAAATTGCCAACATTGAGGACGCAGTCTGCTCTCAATTACATTTGGGGCAAATTCTAAAAACTCAATAACTTTTCACCTAAGTTTGTCTGTGCTCCATTGATTGGAATTTTTCTTAAAATACTGAAGAGTGGCCCAAACTGTCAGGAATTCCACAGTTCATACTGGACAAATAATTTTAACCTACCCTACTCCACTCTACATCACTTGGCTGTATTACTGGTAAATTATAGTCTAGCTGAATGATGGTATCTTGGATATGACTTGCTTTTGACTGCACTGCAGCCACCCAAAGATGATGATGATAGATAATGGTGAAAAAAGTCCAACTCCAAGTGTGAGAAGTGACCATTGAAGGTCTGGTACCAGTTTCAGATTTTGGATTAACGATGACTAGGAAAGAAGATTTAGCTGGTAGCAGATTACTCATTTTTTGTACCACAGTACCACACAGATTACGAGTACTTTTCCTAGTAATACTCTATCTTTTCTGGCTTATCTCTTGTTTGGGTACATCTATTGATCTTTCTCATAATGCACATGATTTAATCCACCATCTACTTTATTTTTGAGACGGTCGGACTTTGTTCTCTTAAAATCTAGGTCACTTAGGATGTGGCCATATTACGGAGATTACTGGTAGTGCTGTTCTCCAGCATATATTGGGTGGGTCATCTGTGCAGTAATTTTCTAAAACTGACATGGATTGAGAAATTGCATTTCATTTTTGTCCACCCTTTTGGAAAAGTTGACAGAAAGTTATGTCTATATTTACGATGTATAGTTTATAAAACTTCCACTGATTGTTTTATGTAACTTTGACGGGTCAAGCAGCTGAAGTATTTACCACCATTGGTCATTTATTTGTTTAAAAGCCAATCGGCCTCCTGGCAACAACCAATACAAACTGGCCAATTTCTAAGTCTATTGCAGGGCAAATGGGGTCAAAAGCCATCCTTTAGAACTGTCAACTACATAGGAGGAAGGTACAGAAAAATTCAAATACAATGTAAAACATTAGGAGGTAAGACATTTAGATTTTACAGATGGAGTTTCTGAGGGGTTGAAAAAAATATGTCAGATATTGCTACTCATATTCTCCCCATCATTTGATGAGAAATGATTTAAATTAAAGGTAGATCTATTGTTTTGGCTGTCACTCAGTCTATGATCGATAAGATATATTCATCAGAGAGAGATGTCCCTGGAAATTATGGTCCTAACATGTTCTGAGCCATTTAACGTGTCAGGAGCAAATTGAAGTGACTGTTTGATAAATAATTCAATCAGACCACGCACCACAGTCCGCTGGCGCCGTGCCGCCAAGTCATAAAAGAACAGATGGTGATGTCATGCATTGTTTGGAGTTATCACAATCTCCGCAGCATTCGTACCTTCCTTCAATTTGTCTTACCAGTAAATGTCAATTATTTTGTCTGAGTAAAAGGCTAGTCTTTTTGTACTGTTAACAGTAAAGAACATTTTCAGAAAGGAAGTTCTTTCTCCACTCCGAAAAAGGTATGTCAAGAACAGGTGTTGTCATGTACACATGATAACGGTATTAATCATTGCAAAGGGATCTTGAGCTTAGAAGATTATACTTTGTTGCTTTGTCTGTTTTAGTGTGTGTATTTTTTTGTATAAGCTGGTCTTGGGAGATTAGGTACGATGGTTTAGAAAGTCTGTTTTGAATTGACCTGCCTGGGGAAGATGTAAAAATTGACTTTCGGGTTTCTTTCATTTGCAATGTAGTATTTGGAGCTGCATGTACTGCGATAAAAGATTAGAACTGTACATGTTCTGTAAGGAATTCATTTTATAAAGATGTATGGAGCGTGAATGTGGAGGCCAATAGAAACATGATACAGAGATAGTAATATTAGACCTGGCACAGAGCTGGAAGTGAGAAGTCTCATGGGGAGGCAGGTGTGTTTCTGACAATGGAAGGTTTCCTGTCAGACAATAGTGGCTAGACGTGCAAACATGGACACACAGGTTTACTGGGAAAGTAAAATTCTGCCCTTTCTGCATGCTAGTCCGTTGAATGTGCCTCAGGCAGCGAGTGCAGCATTTTACCAGTGTACTTACAGTACTGGTATTACATGGGTTGCAAGAGGTTATTAGTGAAATTATGCTGTTGGGTCAGTCACAGTTTTGAAATAGAGCTTCAAATTTCACTATGTCTACAGTGTTGACAATATCCTATGAAGTACTAGGCTAGGAGTAAAAATGTGACAAAGAAGTGTAGACAGTCCTCAAAGCTAGACCAAGGACGTTTTACGTTTTGTAAAATGTCCTTTGCTAGACAAGGCTACTGTATGGCAAGTGTGTATTCTGTCATAGTCTGATACACATGACTATTGTCTGCTGAACAATGAGACAAAGGGAAATATTGCCTACAAACCAGCAGAACTTGTCTTATAACTTACTATAATTATAGATTTAGGTAGGTAGCTATATTCAGCACCTTTATAAAACAGATCTTTATAAAGTCTCTGAGTCTGAAACAACACAACCTGGTGAAACAAGTTATCTGACGCACAATGGGCAGCTATACATACATGTAGCAAGTGTGTATTCTATCATACTGATAGACATGAAAATAATTTGTTTTTGTCTGATTAACAAACAGAACTCTGATACTTTCCTAAAACCAGCAGAACTACTAGACTCAGTATTTACGGATTCTGTAGGCAGCTATGTCCAGAAATAGATCTGAGGACAACAGTGAACTTACCTGAGGCACAGCCGGCACTCCCACACACATCCTGCACCTCACCTGTCCTAATTTACCTGTGCGGCAGGCCCAAACCCCCGGCTGTGACGTCACTCAGTCAAACAGCATGGCACTCATTTACCTGTTGCCATAGAGACCGTACACAAACCCAGCCCATGGCTGAATAGATTGTGACAGTACACAAAGGGAGTCGCATGGATGAATAATTAACCTGAACAAGGCAAAAGCCACACCCCCTTTCACTTGGGTAATAGGGCGAAGGTACGATATGCTAATCAGATTACTCCATTGTTTGGCCATGAGGGCGTCAACCTGCAGAGCCCCAACTCATCAAATATTGATAGTCATTACAACAGAAAGAATTCTGTATGTCATAATTTGTCTGTAGTATGTACTGAGCCATAGCCAGGTAATAAATAAAATTGCAGACAGCCATAATCGCTTTCCTAATAGTATGCAGATACATGTACTATGGATTCAAGTTTCTCTTGACAATGTACTTTTGTTAGTGGTTTCATGGAGGTAGTCTCTTCTACCTCCATGATGGTTTATAATCCAGCAAAGTAGAAAAGTTGGCAATTTATGTTTTCAAATTTTTTGTAAGCTAGAAAAGAATACTCAAAGATGTTTCCAGCTGTAGACATTTTAATGGATTTTGTATCATTGCAAATTCTGGTTTAGATTCCTTGGTGGACGGAGGTCTGTGATTGGTTCATCATAGCCATAATGGCTATTAGGCATACCAATATTTCCATATTTGGTGTATGGTTGTGTCAATACTGCCATGTTTGGATTTGGTGTGAAGGTCGCACTCTTTCTTTAGTACCAAATGCGTAACAACAACAACAGTAAGAGCCAACTGCATTCCTCTCTGCTATTGAGTGTAAGAGGGATGGACTTAAAAGTGCCATTGTAATGTAAGAGTAACAGCAAGACTACATCACATACAGACCCTCATTTGTTATAATGGTACCTGTGATAGCACACTGAGGTCACTTTTTTTTCTCTTCCAAAAGCCATATCACTGTTAGAGATTAGAGTCATGCTGCCTGAGAACACAGTAAATCTCGATCATCATTGCTGACAAAAACAAGGCAATTTGAACTGTGTTGTCCATAGAAACATTTATTTAAGGCCAAAGGACCCTCTTTTTGAGGACTCAACAAATAACTTGAGCTGTTCTTAACATTCAAATGAGACTGTAGTAGTACCTCTTAACGTCAAAGGAATGAGATTTATGGAGGATTAAAAGTTCAAGAAAGGGTTACCTTCTGTATGGGTGTCCCTTTTGCAATGTAATGTTTATTGAAATGTTGAGTATGTTGACACATTTTTTCATCATTCTTAACTTTCCATTGCACTAACTTGTGTACTTTGAAAACCTTGCTTACAAAAATCTACTGGTTTGTACATTGAAATGAACTTCAAACATAATGTTTAACTTAAAAAAGGAATTTTTGTGGAAGTCAATTATATATGTATGATTGAATCTTTTTGGTTTAATGTGTTTAACTTAAGACTTTTGTTCTCTTATAATGCCCAGGTGTCGTCATGCAGTGATAGCAGCATTCTTTGGTGACAGCAAACCTAAGTGTGAAAAAGCCTGTGACTTCTGTAAAAATCCCAAAAAGGCAAGTGGAGTTTCAATATACATTCAAGATACTGGTAATCTACATCAGAGAATATGGTAGGATATCATTGCATTTATTACGAAACATAATATTTTGATATATTTTGATGTCCGGTTAGTAAACATAATGGTGCCTTTTGAGCTTGTTCAGAAGAATTCAAATATTGTGTTCAGGTATCAGCAATTCAAGGAAGATGGCACATGTGGGGAGTGTTGTCCAAATTTGGGTACAAAGCCAAAATTGTACCCATCCAAAGATGTGGTTAACACTACTGGAAAACCTGTCACATTATCTACATGTAGGTTGTGTTTTTGTCCCTCAATCCTGCAGGTGTATAAGGAGTTAGAGCAGCATCAGCTGAACCCAGTCAGTGCCAACAGGAGAGGAGGGTCTGGTTCAACATTCATCGCTGAGGAGGGCGGGGACGAGGATCTGTATGGGGGAGGCCGGCGCGGGGCCAAAAGGTGGAACAAACCTTTCTTCTTGGATCAGTTAAACACAATATTGATCAGGCATCAACATTTCGACTTGGTAGGAGAAGGAGATAGTTGCAGAATGTGTTCTTTACTTTGCAAGGATTAACTTACATGTACCAGCATTGTACTACACACACAGGTACATGTACATTGAATTTCATTGTCTGGCCTTCTGACTGAAAGTGTCGTGTGTAAGCATGCCTCCTATGACAATCCAGCTGAACTGCAGCAGTAGTCATCAGTGTTGAGTATAACATTACCTATGAAATAATGGCTTAGCTATAACTACAATGTTATCTCCTCTGTATTCCCAGAGACACTGATGACTACTTTAATGATGATGCTGACAGTGACAGAGGAGACGGTCAGGAGTCCTCAGGGTTTGCCAGGCTGGTAAAGGAAGAATTTATGAAGAGGAGAGGGGTGAGAGGATATGATAGTTTTTTTTATTTCATAGTGTTTCATCGTTTTCAAAGTACATGTAGTTACAAAATTCATGTATGTGCTTTATACATACACCATGTGCCATTTATTTGTACTGTATTCTAAGTCTGTTACAGATAGTTCTTAACAAGCAGTATATCGCCGCGCCGCGTGCCTGCGAAGCTGGTGTGTTACGCCGAAAGGCGGTTATACCGGCTATACAAATACAGATACAGATACAGATATCTTAATATCTTTCAAATTACTCAGGCTAATATTACTACACAAGAAATATCACAAGATTACACAAATTGAAATGATCAGCTTAATAGGTTATTAGGTACCACTTTGTCTCTGAATACATATTTTTTATGTTTGTCATATATACATATATGGTACTTCACCTCCTTACTCTCTACAGACAATACAAATACAATGATAACCTTAATGATTGTAGCCTATAAGGATATATGTATATCACACAATTGCTCTTTATACCATATGGTATATATAGGTACAGAAATGGTAAGAGTTCTTCCCTTTTCTACTATATTCATGACATATCTAATAGTGTAATAAGCACAAACAAGAAGCTGGCTATCTTAGTACATAATATACTTTGGAAATTTAAATTATAGGTTCCAATCATTGGCTAGGGTTCTGCAGTGATTGATAATACTCCATAGCAGTAGCACCTGGTTCATTCATGTATATCTCCTGTGGTTCATTCATGTACAGGACTTCTGAATCATTCATATATATAGCAGTTTCTTCAAAACAGGGAGGGGGATTTGGAGGCAGCTGAGGAACAGACTGTTTCTGGGCTTTTGGTGGTTTCAGTGCCTTTCTTCGTGACCCACCTTTTGCCTGTGCTGTATGTCTTGTTTCCTTTTGTTCATACTGTGGCACACAGACTTCCTCGTATACCTCTGTAGAGGTTGGGGCTAAGGTATAACGATCCTCTTGCACAGTGGTTGTAGGAAGTGGGGGCTGCTGAGGAAAAGCTTGTTTCTGCACTTTTGGTGGTTTCAGTGCCTTTCTTGGTGGCCTCCCTTTTGCCTGTGCCGTACTTCCCGAAAGGGACAACTGACAAGGATTTCTCACACTGTCTTGTGAATCTTCAGAAGTAGCCATTATATTACTGAATACAACACTCTGATCTGTGGGTGGAGGAGTTTTTTGCTGCCTCTTACTACAGACAAGAAACACAAGTGTGCAAAGGATTGCAGTACCAAGGACAGAACCACACACGCTACCGGCAAAGGTAGCAACAGAGATGCTTGCACTGGATCCTGGTCTATCTGGTCCATGGTTTAGTGTTATTGACATTCTACTGTGTGCATACCCTGCTGGGTTTGAGGCAATGCATTGATACACCCCTTCTTGGTCTCCTTCTACGCTATGAACTAAAACAGTACCATTGCTCAACATGCAGACATCTGTACCATTGGCACAATCACCTGGCCTGATACTTTCCCCAGTGGGCACAAGGAGCTCTAAATCAGGGTTGGGAAACCCAGTAGTTTCACAGTACATCGTGAGATTGTCACCTGTTGAAATGGAGTTACTGATATTGAGTATGGTAAAAGACAGAACAGTTGGACCTTCACACCTGAGAGATTGTGGATCAAGGCTACGTAAGGCATGTCCAGCTATATCAGCTGGGTTTACATCAATGCCACAGATTATGGTAGACTCAAAGGGGGCACCTGACATGCTGAATCTAGTTCTGAGTATCTGACAGTCACATACCCAGGGATTCCCCTGTAGGTTAAGGTTAGTGCCATTAGTTAATGTGTTGAGTAACTGAAAGGCCTCAATGTTTAGTGTTTTGAAGTTGTTATTCTGAAGATCCAAGAAATTAAGGCTTGACAGGTTTGCTAAAGCTCCAACAGGGACAGTACTGATCTGATTTGAACCAAGGTTTAGAGTTAACAGATGACTCTGTGCTTGAAATGTACCGTCTGAGATTTGTCTGAGTGAGTTTGACTCTAGGTTCAGGGTTTGTAGGTTTTGCAGATTGATAAAAAGATCTTCTGGCAGATAGTCAAGCTGATTATGTCCCAAGTTCAGTGATTGCAAAGCAGAGAGCCCCCTAAAGCTGAAGCTGTCAACTGATTTGATTTTGTTATGATACAGATTTAGTGTCACCAAATTTCCCAGGCCACTAAATGAGTTAGCCTGGAGAGTGGTGAACATATTGTGATGAATATGAAGAGTTGTCAGGTTTGACAGATGTAATATTATATTGGAAGGAATTTCTGAAAGCTGGTTGAAGCTCAGGTCCAGAGTAACAAGGCTTTGCCTGATTTGGTGTGAAAAGGCATCTGCAGGCAAGACTTTGAGTCCATTGTAGCTGAGGCTTAGAGTGTGACATTGACCTAGCCCATTTAATGCTCCAGCCTGAAGTTGAACCCTGTTATGGTCCAGATTCAGAGTCTGCAAGTTTTGGTTCTGTGTGAAAGAATCTTCCTGTATCACCTTGATCTGATTATCTTGAAGCTGCAAAGTCTGAAGAGCTGGAAGCCCGTTGAAGGCACCAGTGGTGATGTTCTGTAAACTGTTAAAGTTTAGGGACAAAGTTTGTAGCCTTAGGAGCCCATTAAATGCACCTGGCTGGATGAAGTGAAGGGTACTATTCTGCAGCTGCAGATTTGTAAGCTGTCCTAATCCATTGAACACATCTGTTACAAGAACCTCAATATCATTTTGGTGAAGATGCAATGTTGCCAAGTTTGGGAGAGAAGAGAAAGTATTTGGTGCAAGAATCTGGACCTGGCTGTTTTGCATTTTCAATGTCTGCAAGTTGTTTAATCCCTGAAATGCATTTGGAAGCAACCTTGTCAAATTGTTGTTATTGATATTCAGGTTTTGCAAATTTGTGAGGCCGTTAAAGGCATTGGCTGGTGGCATAGTCACATCGTTGTTTTGGAGGTTCAGAGTGATCAGCTGGCTCAAACCATTGAATGCATTTGCTGCTACTGCATGTATGTAGTTGTCCTGAAGGTACAGATATCGCAGGTTATTCAGTCCACTAAACCCACTACTTGACAAGGTTCTGAGTTGGTTGTCGTTAAGGTAGAGGCTTGTCAATGATGACAGCTGACTGAAGATGCTAGATGGCAAGGAAGTCAGAAGGTTATGGTTGAGCCGGAGGATCTGAAGTCGAGACAACTGGGAGAAGATTGAAGATGGAAGGGTAATCAGTCTATTGTCATCCAGTCGGAGTTGTACAACATAACGAGTGTAACTGAAGATGTTTGAAGGCAGGGAGTGAATATTGTTCCCATACAAGTGTAGAATTTGGAAATATGTATGGCCAAGTCCACTAAATACATTATAGCTCAAGGATTGCAAGTTATTGTCATTCAGGTATAGGTAAGCCAAGCGAGACATGCTACTGAACATGCCAGCAGAAATAGAGCTGAGGCGGTTTCCATTTAATTGTAGTGTTTGAAGCTGCTGTAAGCCATAGAACATATTACTGGTGGTTAGTCCTGTAAGCATATTGTTGCGAAGGTTTAAAGTTTGTAAGTTCGTCATGTATTGAAAAGTGTTGGATGATATACTGCTGACTCGATTATTGGAAATGTCTAGTGTTCTCAGTTGGGTAGAAGACCCCATTCCTTGGAACATGGAAGAGTATAAGCTGGTGAGCCTGTTATTCTGAAGATAGAGATACTGTAACTGAGTAAGACCAGAGAAAGCATAGCTTGAAAGGCTACCAATCATGTTGTTAGACAAGTAAAGCCACCGTAAATTTGTAACATACTGAAATGTGCTAGATGATAAACTGGTTATCTGGTTGTTTTGCAAGTTAAGGTATTCCAAGTTTGATAACCTGTTGAACATACTGCTGGACAGGCTTGTGATGTTGTTGTTTTGAAGATACAGGTTATTTAGACCTGTAAGGTAATAAAAGGTGTTTGGTGCAATGGTTCTGATACTATTATACCCCAAGCGCAGAGAGTCCAGGTTGCTCAGACTACTTGAAAACATGTTTTGTGAGAGGGATTCAAGCTTATTGTATTGCAGGTGTAAGCTGTCCAACTGGGAAAGACCGAGAAAGGTGTTAGAGCCAATACTGCGTATTTGGTTGTTGTCAAGGTATAGATAATCAAGATCACTCAAACCAGAAAACATGCCTGACTCCAGTGATTCTAAATGATTTTGCCTGAGATACAAGTAATCAAGTTGGGACAGGCCGACAAAGGTGTTTGTGCCAATGGTACTTATTTTGTTACCATCCAGAAGAAGGCTCAAAACCTGAACTAAATCATCAAACATTCCATCCCCCAATGTAACCAGTTCATTGTTTTGAACCTCAAGCCTTGTAATTGAGCCCGAGTTCAGAAATGTCCCACAAGTTATCGTGGAAATCATGTTCCCACTGAGATACACATTTCGTAGACTGGGATACCTCAACACTGCTGGGTGGCTGATGTTAGTCAGATCATTGTTGCGCATGTACAGAGTCTGTATGGATGTTGGGAAATCCTGTGGGATGGCCTGTAGGTCCTGGTTGTCACAGTTGGCAGATGTGGAGCTCGTGCTACACCCAGCTGGATAAGCCACTGTGGGGTGACTTTGCAGCAGTACAAGGAGGGTGTGGAAGAGGAGGAAAAGTTGTACCACCTTCATCATTTGTTTCAAACCTGTAGGGTAGATCGGACTTGTCTTTGGATACACCTGTAATGTCAGTTAATCACTAAAAAGGAAGTTACTGTAAATGGTACCAAAAGAACTGCACAATATCTTTCCCAGTAACACTTGTACACATGATTGTAAGTACATGTACTTAGTAACTAGGTGCATACAAATCATGCAATTGATACAAATACAAGTTGGTGCTGTCAAAACTGCTCAAGAAAACCACCAAGGGACCTAGGAAGTGTGGTCAATGTTGACAGGTGGTATAGGCAAAGAGTTCTTATTGCTTGTGCCAATGGGAAAAATTATGTAAGGGACAAACTTACCTTAACTGTGTTGCAGTTCTGAGCTTAATTGTGAACTGAATGACAGGTCTGTTGTGTAGCTGGTACAGCAGGCTGCATAATGAATAGGATAATATCACAAACAATGTCATATATATGCTGGTGAAAAAGTTACCCGGACCTGGTCTGCCTGTTATGGCTACTGCTACAAAAGCATTGTAACTGTTGTACCTTTTCTGCAGTATAAGGAAGTGAATTTAAAAATTCAAAATTAGCAATTCCTTCAGTTTCCTACAATTTTTTAAAAGATGTATGAAGTCAGTTGTATTTTGTTCACGTTGAAAAAAAGTACATTTCCCAGCAAACGTTTTGTTATAGCAATTTTAACTCCATGGCTATAGTAACTGCAAACAAACTTACGGAAAACAGGCAATGTCAAAGTTAACATCTACCAATACTGTCACAGTGAAACTACATACAGCAGTAAAGTTGGACTTACCTGTCAGTGATGATTATAAATGGCAGCAAACTCACGCTTTTTATGGAATTCCTTTCCTTACACTCCTGGTTGCTGCTGTGCCTGTATGATGCCTCAGCTTCGGGATGTGGTTCCTTTGGTCTGTGTGGTTCCTCTGGGTGTGACTAGTCAAACAGAACTAGCAACATGACCCTCCTACTGCGTTGATAGCCTTGTTGTGATAACCTAGCTGGTTCAATAGCAACCTTTATTGTGCTGTTGAACCCTTGCTACCTTTCCTGAACAGGCCAGAGTCAATATTTGGATGTAGTTCACATGACATGATCAAACCTTCCTGATGAGGAAGTAAGCAACAGTGAAATTTTAAAGGACAATATTTGCTTGTAAATACAGAAGTTTCTCTTTGCATCATATCCAAACATGCTGTTTTGAATACATCTGTGTGCCATAAAGTAGACTGTAGAGTCCATTTCCATCTTGTATGGCATACTCCAGGCTTTTTATAAATTGTAGAATGATATTCCTCATGTTCCTAATTACTGCATTGTTCACATTTTTCTTTCAAGTTTATTGCCGAAATAAAAGTCACCTGAGCAGCTATTGATGAAGATTTTTCTGATGTTGCCTTGAAATGTAGAAGTCAGCTGCCTGCTTGCTGGGTGGTTACTCCAGACAAAAGAAAGGGAACAGGAAACACAGAGGAAACAGAACTTCAGTATCTTCTGTCAGTTCCCTGAAAAACATAAAACCTTTTTTTTTCTGACATATCTTTGAGACATTGGATGTGAAATTATAGACTTTAACATTTTGTAAAGCTACTTTGAATTTAGAAGTTACCCTCAGGATCAACTTTACCTGTATTTAAACAAGCATTAAGCTTTCAACTTGTTGTCTATTGAAGCTTTCAGTGGTA